TATATAACAAGTCACACCATAATTAAGCTCATAAATATTAAACCCAACAAAAATTCAAAACCAATGGTAGCTAGCTACTAAACATATATCTACTTTCTTCTCAATTAAAAATGTGATTTTTCTGGAGTAAAAATTCGCTTACCAGGAATGTATCTAAACAAGATTTTCTGCACAGTTGCATGCAAATAGACAGTGATCTTTCTTGGGTCTGCATACTGAAGCAAATCTGCAGCAGTGTGTCTATGACCCTCTGCATCAAAAATAGTCCCTCCAACTTTAGTCCCGTACAAATGATCATAGGTAAACTCATTGTTGGGCAACACTCCCACTTCCAGCAAACCATCTCTCAAGGCGTTCTCCCACTGCAGAATCTCTGGTTTGAAGGCCACCACTTTCTCAACCCATTCATAAGACTGGTTGACCAAATTATGGTTCCAACCCACCTCCTTGACGTAACGTGTGCTGGCACGTGTGTAGAACCCGGCGTTCACTGCTGAGCCACCGCCTAGCACGCGTGCCCGGATGTTGTAAACTCCGTCCTCGGAGGTGAACTGCTGGGCTGGGGACGTGGGAGAGGTGTCCAAAAGAGTGGGGCCAAAGTTGGCAATGTTGGTTATGTTTGGATTGCCATAAGGCGAGCCGCCTCGTTCAAGGACTAAAATGGTTGCACCATGAGACAGAGTTGCGGCCAATGGACAACCGGCGGTGCCACCACCAATGATTATGTAGTCATAGTAAACCACTGCCGGAGCTGATGTTGCTTCTTTGACAAATGTGTAGTCTGGAGCTGCATAAATGAATCAAACTGGTGATAATCAATTAACAGTCTCTAATTAAACATTTGATCTGCACAACACAAATATGATCCTGTTTACCTTTATCTGAATAAGAAATGGGAAGAAAGAAGAGAAACCCAGAAAGAAAAGCTCCAAAGAATGTGATCATGCATGATCCCAAACCCATTGTGTGTGTTTCCAATTTAACCACCTTCCCCAAAGACAATAACATTTATTTTTGCAATATATTTGTGATCTGGGGTCTTGTTCGAATTAATTATCCAAAACCACACCAGCTACTCTCCTTTAAATAACCCTAAACCCTAAGGCCTAGTGGCCTAACGTTCTTTGTGCACACAAAAAGACCTAATTAAAGAGGTCATGCATTTATAGTTCAACAACATTAATTTTTTCACCTACTCATGTAAAGATACAACGTCCTTCATGAAGTTTGATAATACGAACACACCATTTCCATTTGTGCTCACTAACTTGGGATTAGCTAGCTAATCGTATTCTATACATCTTGATGAAGCCTTATTCAACAGTTAAATTTTTGGTACCGGCCCAGTGCCTATTTTTGCATGCCTTGACATTCAAAGGTTTATTGCTAGCTACTAGTGGCAGTGGCAGTGGCAGTGGCAGATACTTTTTTTTCAAGTTGCTCAACTGCCCATACAAGTATTGGTTGAATCCAATTAATTCAAAGAAACATAAATGGAGGTCTTTTTGCATGCTCAATTGCCTGGCTTGCCTTGATTCCAATGGAGGTCTTTCTACTTCCGGGAGAAACAGAAAAGAAGCCTTCCTTTTCCAGCTCGATTGCGTGCTCGATTGCCCGGCTCGAAAACTTTGTTGGATAATTGAATGATTTGAGAATTAATCAACATTATGACACTCAACAGTAACATATAGGCAATTCATTACATGACTTGAGGACACAAATCAAAATGATCCAATAACATTGATATTCAAAATTCATGATTAGGTTGCTTATGATTTAGTGTCAAATGATGCTATTCTTTTGGTTCGGAAGGATGCATAAGTATTAAGTTAGTAAGCATCTCATCTCACGAATCTAGTTAATATTACTTCTCTCCTTAGGTTAGGTGACATTTGCATCTGGTCGTTGAGTGGAACATCAAAGGCTTTCCTTTCCTATATGAGAGAATTCAACTCTTGTAAGTTGTATCTATCAGTACTAGCAATTAGGACAGTGAAGAAAATGGCACATCGGAGAACCCTCGCGGAACATGTCTTGTTTCAGCGATAAGCGCCTAAGATCTTGAGTTCCCGTTCTCATCTCTCTACAAAATACATACAATTTAGAAAATTCTTGCAAAGAATCTAGATGGGAATTCTGAATTTCCACGACAATCATACCTTTGGTGCAAATTAATTATCGGGTAAATTGCTGAATTGCCCACTGAACTTGTACATAAATATCAATTTACACCTTGATCTTTTTTTTATAAGTAAATTAAGGGCTCGAGTTAAATTTTATTCTCAATGTTACCCCTGCCGTCTAAATCATCAACGTTTCATTCAATTTGCAATTAAATATGAAGGCAAATTGCTTGTTTCATATGTTAAAAAATAATTAAATACTTTTAAATAAATTAAAATGACATAAAAAATGAAAAATATATATTTATAAACAAAGTAGTGGGACCCACCCACCCTACCCTCTACCCCCTTCACCTCCGCCTCTCCCCTTCTGCCCTCTCTCCTTCTCTACGACCCAATACCCAAAATCCCCAACTGGGTTTCACAAGTTAAGATTATTAGTGCACACCCAATTCTTAATAATTGTTACTTCTTTGCCGATTTGATTGGAGGGCCCAGAAGCCTTTCTTTTGTTTGGAGGGTACCAATGTGGATCTATGTTGGGCAAAATCTATTGGCTTAACGTGGAGCACATGCCCAAATGACAGGGGCACCAGTCCGAAACGAAGAAATTATTGTGTGACTGCTTTACTAATATGTGGTGGGTCGATATAATCTTATCAAAGGCTAAAGATAGAGGGAAAGCCCGATCGATAGCTCGTCTAGAAGCACATCAAAGTTAGCTAATCGGTGGAGTGACAGTGCGATAACGCCTGTGGCAAGAGGTGCTAGGTTTGGTTTCATTTTTTTGTTTTGTTAATTTTTTTGTAAGGGTATAATTGGAATTTTTGCGTGTTAAAACAAAACAAAACTTATGGTAATAGCTTCTAGTTTTCCCATCATATAATGGAAGAAGAGATTGTACCACATAGTACGAGTGACTTGTCCCACTGAAACTTTTCCCATCATGCTTTTCTTGTAGAGTGACACTTTCCTTTAAACGATGAACATTTTCTCTTTTTTCTCTTTCTACCCGTCACTTTTCTCTCATTCCGTTTTTTTTTCTCAGTCATCTTCTTCATAATTCTCTCTTTTTTCTTTGATGCGTCTCTCTTGTAGAATTTGGGTTTGTTCTGATAAATTGAATTTATGGCTTGTCGAATTAGGATTTCTTAATTGAATTGGGGCTTGTGAAATAAGAGCTTTGAATTGTGAATTAAGTTCCTCAACGTTGGAGAAATTATATGATATGTTCTTTTAAGCCCAAAAAGAATGGTTTTTTTTTTGGGGGTCAAAATGGTTCATTAGGGTTCAAATGAATGTATGCTACTTTTTAAGCCCAAAAGTGATTTTCCTTTTCTTTTAAAAAAAATTACATATTTAGTTTTTAGTGTATGTACAGAGTGGGCCACAATTTAGGGTTTGGGCTTGGGTTTTAGAAAACTCTGATGGGCTTTGTTCACTTGTGTCATTGAGTTTAATGTGTAAGTTTCGCCCAGCTAATTATCAAATCCTCAATCGGCTCTGATCCCTACCCAAGTTATAGGTTGTTGATAGCTTTCTCTCTATGTGTTCCCTTTTTATATTTATATTTATTTTTGCTTGCTTGCTTGGTTGAGCCAGTCAACTTTTTGTTCGGATTCAGCCATCAAACATGTAACATGTTCACCTACCTAAGCTGGATAAGAGAGAAAACAAAATCATCCCCAACATCCCACACTCCACCCAAATTTAAATGAATTATTGGGTATTTATAATGTATGCCATATGTTTTCTTCTCTTTTTTTTTCTAATAGCTTTTAGATTATTATGCGTGTAAATGTAAGTTTCACAAAAAGATTGTCAACCATGCTAATAAATTATAAATGTTGAGGTGTCCATTCTTATGACCCAATTTGAACGTTTTCCTGGATCATCATCCATCGTTTTGATACATAATTACGTAATTAAAAGAAATTTGAAAGAAACATTTTGCATAATGAAAATATAGTCCAATCAATTTTGATGAACATGTGAAGTCATGGTTATTAGGCGATATGGTCGGCTGAGTCGATGGCTGCTTAACTTTAAAAACAAAAAGCATACGGCAAACGTGTAATTACAAACAACGTAAAACGAAAATTTGTAAAAGTATTAGAAGTGAATTATTATTTTCAATTTCTTCAAAGAGGTTGAATTCTTTCTTGGTTTAGACAAAGTTGATGGCTGCTCTGAGCCTACTGTCGTCTTCCCAACTGCATGCCATACCCTTTTCGTTGCTACTTACTTTACTTACCTAATTTCAAACTGTTTTTTTTAGTTGTGTATATTTTTCTTATTCACGAATTTGGTTCTTTCTTCTCCGAAGGATGACTCAAAAACCTGTCCCCGGTCACAGAGAACCAAAGACAAAGGAATTAACAGGAAGGAAACAAAAAGTCGTTAATTAATGCATAATATTAATGCAAATTTCCATATCCAATTAAATTCAAGTTTTGACATGAGATTTTCCTTCTCCTCTGAGTAAAGCCATGGAAAAGCCAAAATATATGTGAAGCATGGATAAGGATAACAATAAAAGCAAATACAAAGAGCTTTAATTTTCTGTCGATTTCATTCATTTCATACAGATGATATAAATATATTACACAAGCCAGCTGGGCTCATAAGGGACCCCTCTGAGTAAAAAGTCTGAGCCTCTAACATTAAGCCGTGAAGGGAAAAACCGAAAAGAAAAAAAAACAGTACCTGTTCATTTGAAAAATTAAGAAGAAGAAGAAAAAAACTGGCAGCAAATTTGACTTTGTATCCATGAATTGAAATTCATGATTGATCTCTGTATGTGTTACAACTTACAAGTTGCTAGCTACGGCTATAGAAGAAGAGCTCAACATATATACTAGTGCCTGAGGAAATTGATCAAGGTCTGGAAGGAGTGATCTTGATGACGAGGCCAGGGAAAACATCATCCGGGTCATGGATATGCGGGTTGCGCTCCACGATAAAGGGGTCGCTGCACTTGTCACTGATGGTGTGGAGGGTCTCGCCTTCTCCGACCACATAAATTTCATCACAGGGCCGGTTGATCACAAAGTGTTTAGCCCCTCGAACCGGGTCGTTGTCCGGCATAGAATCGTTCTCTCTGATGGAAGCAAACAAGATCAAGGCCAATAGGATTGTGGCGCAGTACCAAGAGGCTGCATCAGCCATAGGCTTTGATGCCATAAGATGAAAAAAAATGAGAGCTGATGAGGTTATGGGGTTTTGTTGATGAAACATAAAGAAGGCTCCGTCTTTATATATATAGGTATATGTGTGTAGCACAGGTATGTTTGCATTTATGTGAAGAAAGAAAGAGAGGTTTTTGGTTGTTTGCGTAGGGAGGGGAGTTGGGTTCAACGTGGACTTGGCTTATAGAGACACTGCTACTATATTGAATTACTGAAAAGGACAGGTTTAGTTTCTAAGGTTTTATTATGAATTTTATAGTTTAATTTCATGCATGGTGTTTCTTTTTTAATGGTAGAAAGAAGCTCTGTTTTAATTATTACGACAATCAATCAGTAAATATTTTTCAATTCTGGCAGGTGGGAGTTGTCTATTAGTCAGAGATGCTGCAACTTAGGCGTTGAACATGAACAACTTTATATTATGCTACAGTGCTACAGCTACTAGAAGATATATATATATATATACTCAGATACCAAAACTTTATATCAATATAGAATTTGTGTATGTTCTAGGGGAATATCAATTTGGACATGGAGGTAATTATTAGAAATATTATGCTGATCATGGGTTTTGATAACTGAAAAGAACCAAAAAGATCGAGAAGAGAAAGATAGTTAGTGGCGGAAAATGTGGGGTGGCAAATTGTGTGCTGGGGAAAGTGGCAAATTGCGTGAGGAAATAGAGGCGGGCCTTCCTCCCCCACTCACGACCTAGAACAGGAAAAAAAACCTGTAACTATATCATGTAAAGCTAAAGACTAACGCAAGCGACTAAAGAAGTTCAAAAGTTGTGCTTGCCATTGCCTGGAGCCTTTGACGTGCCAAATGGGTCTTGAGATCTTTTTGGACTTTGGCCTCATGCCGTGCTCCAATTGCTTTGGCTTTTTGAACCAGCTGACCAAGTCATCAGCCAACCGTATACGTTGGCAATATAGATGGACCAAATTATTAGCTTTTTTTTATATTTTCTTTTGTTTTTGGTGTAGGGGTGGACCAAACCATCGTTCCCAATTTCCCAACGCACAACCAAGAGATGAGAGGTTGACATATTGGAGGGTTTGGAACTTTATTGGGGATGCTAGCCACACAAGTCGGGAATTTTTCATCGGAATGCATTTAATCAGTCGGCGGAGAGTGTCCAGGTCGGTAAAGAGTTGAGATGTATGATTGAAAGAACATAGTCACAGCCAGGCTTCCCCTCTCCCTCATGGCACCCCCAGTTCGAACCCACCCCAATTAAAAAAAGAAAAGAAAAAGAAGATAAGTCACGAAAATAATATAATTATTATTATTATACAAGTAGCCTATTAAATCAATAATTCTTTTTTGTCTAAGGCGCATTAATATTCTCAATAATGCCTTACTTTGGATGTTAGCTTATGTGATATTGTATGCTTTATTTTCATGCATTTGCGAATATAAACATATATTAATCCTTATTAGCAATGGTCCCACACTCCATGCTTTCAATGTTTGGCACATATATACTGTTTGGCATATGATTGTTGTCATATAAGTATAACATCCAAAGATTGATGTATATAATATACTGTTTGGCATATGATTGTTGTCATATGGGTACAATTTTAGACAGATGCCTCTACCATAACTCAGGTAGGCGGCTTGTAAGTTGCAGTGTAATATGTTCATGAATGGTTTAAATTTGTTTGGTAGGAGTGGCACTGGCAATGCCTAATTGCCCATCCTATTTCAATTTGATCAATTTTTGTTCAATATTGGTAAAACATTAGTTTGGTTTTCGCGTTTTCTCTTTTCTTCATCTGGCATCCTACCCATAATACTAGGACATATTAATAAATGTTCAATCTAGGGCCATCTCTAGGGTTCGGTTATTTTGTGTGTATGCATATAAATATGAACTAATTTCATAGAAAACTAGTATACTCTATATGCAAAATATGACAGCTTTTACAAAGAGAGTCATCTCGATTAGAAATATGACGGACATGAGTAAAGCTTCCTCAATAATCAAAATCAGCTCTATAACAAAAATCCTATATAAAGGCAAGTCAGACTACAAACTACCAACTACATAACTACCAAATGTTAATTTATGATATCTTTTGTGCAGATACGATTCATAATAAGGTGCTTCTGACTAAGCCTCTGCCATTAATTAGGCAAAACCCTATAATTGGCGTCACCATCCACCATTTTTCAGAAAACGTCTCAAACATGGTCATCCAATTGAATTGAATTAAGTGATGGGAAACACAATTAGGATTCATTTATTTTAATTGGTGGACATAGTGGTAAAGTCAATTATCTTGAAACATATTCCAACCACATTTGAGCACTAAACCCTTTGGAAGGGACATCACGGTAATAGACTTATCACTCCTATCCTATTCTCCACGAGAGTGTCACAGTGTGACACAAATTTCCCATTAGCGCATAATCACAATGCCTAAGAGAAAGAAAGAAATTGTGGAAGACCTAAGAGAAAGAAAGAAATTGTGAAAGCACAAGCCACTATGCCTTCCTTCCATGAATAAACATTTGTACGTGCTTCCTAGGAGATGGAACTTTGGATTAAGTTGGTGGCATAGCACCAGAGAGGCCCATCCCATCAAGCAAGTCTATGCCAAGCTTGGCCCCAAACCAAAACTAGGGTTTTTGCCCTGGGACAAGCAAAGGGATCTGATTGACCCAAAAGAAAAAGCCCATATTGAAATGCTCAACCCAGCACAAAGCAAACAAACAGGCACAAGTTAGGCCAGTGGCGGGAAAGTCGATTGGCATTTTGATCTTTCACCTATGGTGACCTGAGAACTTCACTTTCTGCCCCAAATCCAATTCAAAATTTAACGAAAACCAAAGCCGCTCGTCATGAAACTCGCAAGACACATTAGGCGCCGCTTCAGCACCTCCACAGCCAGCCAAAAATCAGAGCGTGTGGCCAACAACAGACCAATCTCCTTGACTCAAATCAAAGAGCTTCACGCACACCTTATCAGAACCCAGCTCCACAAAGACCCGTCTTCGGTCTCAGAGGTTATTAGATATTACGCACTATCTCCTCTGTTTTTGGAGAAAGCCCTTTTAGTCTTCAATCAAATTGAGCAACCCACATTATTGATTTGGAACCATATGATCCGTGGACTCTCACAGAGTGGCCAATTCAGTGAAGCAATTCACGTGTATAATCGTATGTACCGCCAAGGATTGGCTGGGAATCATTTGACCTTTATATTCATTTTCAAGGCTTGTGCTCGAGCTCCCGATATTGCACATGGCCAAACGGTCCATGCCCATGCACTGAAACTTGGCTTTGAACCTTATCTTTTTGTTTCGAATGCCTTAATTCACATGTATGCATCTTGTGGTTATTTGGGTTTTGCTCAGAAAGTGTTTGATGGAATGCGGGAAAGAGATTTGGTTTCTTGGAATTCTTTGATATGTGGATATAGTCAGTGCAACAGGTTTGAGAATGTGTTGGGTCTTTTTAACGCAATGCAGGCAGCGAATGTGAGGGCTGATGCGGTCACAATGATGAAAGTTATTTTGGCGTGTAATTACTTGGGTGAATGGGAAATTGCAGACTCTATGGTTAACTATGTTGAAGAAAATCATGTTGACATTGATGTTTACATGGGAAACACTATGATAGATATGTATGGACGTCGTGGTTTGGCGAATTTGGCTCGGGAAGTATTTGATCGGATGCATGAAAGAAACATAGTTTCATGGAATTCCATGATCAAGGGATATGCAAAAGCGGGAAACTTTTTCAATGCAAGAAAGCTTTTCAATGAGATGCCGAAGAGAAATGTGGTCTCTTGGACTTCCATGATCACTGGTTACTCTCAAGCTAACCAACATGCTGAGGCGGTGAGCCTTTTTGAAGAAATGATGGGAGCTAATGTGAGAGCAGATGAAATAACGGTGGCTAGTGTGCTTTCTGCTTGTGCGCATGTAGGTTCGCTTGATGTGGGAGAGGCTGTCCACCGCTACATAAGGAAGCATGGTGTGAAAGCAGATATCTATGTGGGAAATGCTTTGATAGATATGTATTGCAAATGTGGGGTGGCTGAGAAGGCATTGGAGGTGTTTCAGTGGATGGAAGAGAAAGATTCTGTGTCATGGACTTCGGTAATTTCAGGCCTTGCTGTGAATGGTTTTGCAGATTCTGCACTTGAACTCTTTTCGCAGATGTTGAGAGAAGGTATTCAACCAACTCATGGAACGTTCGTTGGGATTTTATTAGCTTGCGCTCATGCTGGATTGGTAGAAAAAGGATTGGAATATTTTGAAAGCATGGAAAAGATTCGTGGACTAATGCCAGAAATGAAACACTACGGATGTGTTGTGGATCTGTTGAGCCGCTCTGGAGAGGTAGACAAGGCCTATGGGTTCATACAAAATATGCCTATTGTTCCCGACGTTGTAGTGTGGAGGATATTGCTGAGTGCTTGTAAGGTTCATGGAAATGTGGCCCTAGCTGAAGTTGTCACAAACAAGCTTCTTGAACTGGATCCTTCTAACAGTGGGAATTATGTTCTCTCATCAAATACTTATGCAGCTTCAGATAGATGGGAAGATGTTATAAGAATAAGAGAACTGATGGATGAGAGCAATGTGCAGAAGCCATTTGGCCGTAGTTCCATTGAAATAAATGGCAAATTGTCAAATAACTCTCAGGAGCCAGGACTCACTTATAAGAAGAATCGATGAATCTATCTCAAACTGATCTTAACAGACCAATTCTTTTAGTGAATGGGCTTATAAAATTGAACGGATATGAACAGTGAGAATTGCTTATCTGACCCAGCTGGTCTTGGAACAGAGAGGACAGGTTGTGGTGCATTGGAAGCTATCATCATCTCAGATGAAAAACGGGCAGCTTCTAGAATTGGGGTAAACTTTAAAACCTTCTGATGAGATGCAAGCTCTGCTGGTGTACATATCACCATTTTATGCCTCTGTAACCTAGTAAAATACACTGAAAAGATTCACGACAAGAGGAGATTCAAATTTGGGATCTTTTCAATTCTGACCAAAATAAAAAAATAAAATAAAATACCATTAAACGAATAGTTAGTCGAGTGTACACAAAATAATATTTGTTCATAATTCTCTCAAATTGAGAGGCCTTCAAAAATAATATATATATATATATATATCTTAAATTGTCATTATATGTCTCTGTTTACCAATTGAAAAGTGTGTAAAGCTTACGGTAAGAGTAGCATATTCCACTACCTATGAATCTCATCATTGTCATTTGAGCAAAAACAAAAAGAATCTCATCATTGTATGGGCTAATATTTTGGCTTAAATTTTCCCAACAACGCCTTTCACGAACACAAATAGATGTTGGCAAAAATCATTAAGAAAACACTTTTTTCACGAGAATAATATTTCTTTAACAAAAGGGACAGTTGTTGCCTACGCGAATCTGAGTGTACCTGACGTGGAAACTAGTCAGCGATTTGTGGCGTGCCAGAATAAAGGTTGGCAACAGAGCCCATCTAATTTCTAAAGCCGACAACATGGAGCCCATCTCATCTAATTCATATTTGATTTTGAGTTCAAATCCGGATATACATATATGGGAGTCTTTCAAATACAATTAATAAGGGATTCCTCAATAGAAAGGGACTATATATATATATATATATAAAGTTTCTTAAAGTAAGTGTAAGAGCAAGTGAATTGTTGAATTTACATATAGTGGAGAGCGACCACAAATCTCTTGGATCCTGTAGTTCAAGATATCAGGACTGTATATATATATATATATATATATAAATAAATGTTTGATTATCATGTTTTTACTAAATTAACCCTATACCATAACTGCATCAGATCAAATGTCTGATTTATCACTCAATTACTTAACTATATCTACATCAGATCAAATGTCTGATTTACCTATGAGTAACATAACTATACATATATCAGATCAAATCAATTATCTCATCCATCACTTACCTAAAAATGTATCATATCAAAGTCTGATTTTATCACTCACCTAAAAACAGTACCTAATTATGTCCCCCAATATGATCTCAAATAGCAAAACAGGTAAATAATCTACTTGGATCCAGAAACAAAAGTATCAGGTAACATCCTTTTTTCTTTTTTTCTCTTTTTTTTTTTTTTTTTTTTTTTTTTTTTTTTTGGGGTCAAAGTTAACTAACACAAGATATCGTGGGGATTTGAACTCATGACCACTTTGAAGTATGCCAAAAGTTTGGGCCAATCCAACTAACAACCCAGGTAAATTATCTTCAAAACTACTATATGATCTAGTCAAAAGTAAATTAACTTAACTAATGTAGGCCATTTATGCAAACTAGACAAGGCATATAAGTTGCTACAAAATAAAATATGCTTGTTGAGGTTCATGTTGCTCTGGTGAGAAACACTTGTGTCAAACAGGTGTTTTGCAATTTCCGACTAAGGAAGCCAAGAGAAAAAATTGTCACACATGGCATTCCGTGAATAGCTGAGAATAGCACAAACAAGTTTTTCTGATAGCTGAGACTGTAGCAAGCAATAGCTTCTGGAGTTGGATCCATCAAATACTTAGGCAGGTCAGATGAAATGATGGGATGCAATGATGTTTATAAAAATGAGAGCAGAGCAACGTGCAGAAACCATTTGGTCGTACTTCCATTGAAATATAATAAGTGGCAGATTATCAAATAACTCTCAATTGCAAGAAGAATTGATGAATCTATCTAAAATTGATCTCACCAGACCAGACCAGACCAGAACAGAACAGAACATACCAAGCCAGAACAGACCAGCACAAATGTTTCAGTGCATGTGCATGACCATATAATAAAATCGAATGCGGAGAGATATATGAGCAGTAGCAGGAAGTGCTTATCTGAACCTCAACATCATCAGCTGGTCTTTCAACAGAAGAGAGGTCGTTCAACTGAGGTGCATCAAAAATGTTGCCAGCAAAGATTTTGCATTTTCAGAATCCGCTGAGTGGACAAGTTGTGATGATTTCAGCTCAGATGAAAAAGGGCAGGTTCTACAGTTCTGGGAAGCTGCTGATGGAGATGCAAGTCAGCTTGGTGACTATTCTATGCCTTATATAAGCGAGAAAAATAGACCGAGTCAAAAATAAAATAAAAATCAACCCAAAAAAGTCATTGAAAAAAAAAACTAACAATAACGGCATAACCCATATCTTATCTCAAACATAGTCAGCATTGTTGATTTTTGTGTTTCTACTTGAATTTTCAGTTTGATTTTTGTGCTTAATTTGACAAATTTATTCAATATAGGTGAGTTAGACGAATTAATCGGAATAGCTTATCAGAATAGTTGATCGGGATAGTGACTCCAACCCCTTCCATCGAACCCAAATTCAACTCCCCGATCCTGTTAGAGTAGATTTTACTATAATGATGATGAAAGTTGCATTTCCACTTGAAGGAGTCTCATCATTCTCGGTTAACTCTTCTCATAAACAGTTTTCACTCAAGACAACGCAGATATTTGTGGGAAAAGTATAAGTTGATGAGAAATGTCCCAAAATTTCATCACCGAGACTGGTCCCAGGAGAATATACTAGTTTTATTTTATCTAAGAGACAGTTGTCTCCTACGCGAAGCTGACTGTATATGTCGTGGCGTTCAATTATTATCCTCTATATTGGGATCCAATTATAATCCGTACCACGACTCTCTCTCCTCCGTCCCTCATTGTTTTTCACACAAACATACAACTGCACTTTAAAAACTTTAAACTGCATCATCTGTATCTCTATGCGACGTTTCTTCCAGCCAACGTCCCAAATTCATCCCACCATTCGTCTGACGTGGAAATTAGTCAGTGCCAGATACCAAGGGCTGGCAACAGAGAACCCGCCTAACTTCTAAGGCTGGCAACAGAGAGAGCCCATCTAAATGACATTTCAGCTTTATTTTATTGGATGATTAGGGGGGTAATTATGTTACTAATTAAATTATTATTCTTCTTCTCTTTTTAGAAACATTCATTTATGGATTTGATAAATCACACACGTGATATCATTTTGATACAGTTAAAAAGGGTTGATTGGTGAATTATTTTATTCAGTAAATAGTTAATGGAGAAAATTAACAACAACTAACGTTCTCTTTTATACATTCCTTCCTGTTCTACCTTCTGATTCTCACCTTCTAACTTGGTGCACTTATCCAAATTAATTATCTATCTTTTAGGCTATCCATCCAACGTCATCTCTAAAGAAAAACCAACCAAATAAGGGAATATTTAGTCATTTAATTTTTATGAAATAAAAAATTCAATGTTTCGATTAAACCCTAACTTAACGGGAAAGATTTTATGTTAAAGATTGGTTAAGAATTTTAAAAAATTAAAAATAAATCAATGTTCCGATTAAACCCTAACCTAACGGGAATGATTTTATGTTAGGAATTGGATAAAGACTTTATTATTTTTTCGTTGAGAGGATAAAGACTTTAATCTCAACTAATGAATCCCTGTAAGGTACATATTTTAAAAAATAACAATTTAATGCACTGACATATAATTCCTTACCTAGTCCTCAACACAAATATCTTCATTAGAGAAGCTCTAACATAAGATATTGTTTATAAATGGCAAAACAACGGCAATTTAGTTGACATTTTGTACGACTCGTTGTTTTGATTGTATGTAACATTGAAGAATTGAAAGATAAAACCGAAAAGAATAAAGTAAAAGAAGAAGATACAAAGAGAAAGTAGTTGGCGTTCCCCATATTTGATAATCAAATAACCTTCGTTCCCCTTATTTGATAATCAAATAGATAACATTCTCGATATTTGATATTCAACTTTAGATGAATAATATAATTAGATGGTGATTACGATATAAAATAAGAAATTAGGTAATAATCTCAACTTGCTCTGGACTCATTATTCTAGTACTTATTAGTCAGCATTAAATGTGGACCATAGACAGGATAATGCGGACGGTCTGTCTACGTGAATCTGACTGTGCATGTCGTGGCATCCATTCACCAATTCATAATGGCCGTTGACGGTTCCCAATTTTTAGGCATACTTTTATTCGGATACTTCCAAGTCCGAAATTCTATCCCGAAATTTGTGTAATGTAGAAAACTTAGTTACTGGTGTTTGAGGCGTGAGAAATTAAGCCAAGAATATACCCAGCCATTGCAAGCCAAACCTAAAAACCCAAAAGAAACAAAAAAACAAAGCAAAAGCGAAAAAAAAGAAAAAGGAAAAAAAAGAAGAAGATATTCAAAAGTGTGATTGTAACAGATGGGCGATTACAAGCAGGGTAGGCAACACCGTGCATGAGATGAGAACAAATCACCCACGTACAAAATTCCAAATTGGATAAATACTTCATTTCTGGATTTTTCCTAGATATAAAATAAATAAATAAAATATTTAAAAAAATGTTCTCAGATATCATTCGCTGTGACCGCAACCAACTTGACCAAATCATAGTATTTTTTTCCATCGACATCTCTTGTTCCTCTCCTCACCCTTTTCCCAAAACTAATATAAATACCACATCGTAGACACACTCTGCTCATTCAGAAAGTACTCATCGTTTGTCTTTCTTACCTTCAGGCCTTCATACACCCGTTCTCTCTCTCTCTTTGTTTTTCAAGTTCTTCTCTTTCTTTCAAGTTCTTCTCTTTCCTTCAATTTCTTGCCTTTCAAACGCCCAGATTCTCTCTTTTCTTTCAACCACAAAACAGAGCCAGTAAAAAATGGGTAAGGGAGGGATGTCTTCTCAGGGAGGGGTTCTAGAAGCCCATGTTGAACAAGAAAACATGGCTGCTTGGCTTGTGGGTGTGAATACCCTCAAGATTCAACCTTTCAAGCTCCCCACTGTCGGTATGATTTTGATCTCTGTTTATGTTATCAAAACCTTGTACATGTATGACATTCTTTCACAAATTCTTCTCAATGATGCTCTTGCCTAACATTCTGTTTCCTTTTTTTCTTGGGATTTCTTAATTTTTAGGTCCCAATGATGTCAGAGTCAAGATAAAGGCTGTTGGGATATGCGGAAGTGATGTCCACTACCTTAAGGTTCGCCTCCCTCTCCTGTCTTTTTTCCCCTGGTTCTGAATCTGATGCATATTCATTGTTCCGTTTTGGTTTGGTTTTGAAAACCCATATGGTTTTAGAACCAAAATTTGGTTTTATCCAACGGATCAGTACTTGCTCTCCTGTTTTAATTCTTTTCTTTTTTTTGGCCATTTTTCAGACCATGAAATGTGCAGACTTTGTTGTTCAAGAGCCAATGGTAATTGGGCATGAATGTGCTGGGATCGTTGACGAAGTTGGTAGCATGGTGAAGAATCTGGTGCCCGGAGATCGCGTGGCTCTAGAGCCCGGCATCAGCTGCTGGAGATGCGAGCAGTGCAAGGGCGGGCGATACAATCTATGCCCAGACATGAAGTTCTTCGCCACCCCACCAGTCCACGGCTCATTGGCAAATCAGGTAACGAAAAACCCACCCATAAAGTTTTCATCTTTCTATGATCTCTGTACCAAACTGGAGCCAGTTATTGATGGGCATTTTTTCTTTTTCGGTTTTGGGTTCAGATTGTGCACCCTGCAGATCTGTGCTTCAAGCTCCCGGAGAATGTGAGTTTGGAGGAAGGCGCCATGTGCGAGCCTCTGAGTGTTGGTGTTCATGCCTGTCGGCGAGCCAACATCGGCCCAGAAACAAACGTCCTGGTGATCGGAGCGGGGCCAATCGGGCTTGTGTCGGTGCTCTCTGCTCGTGCTTTTGGGGCAGCTAGAATTGTCATTGTGGATGTGGATGATGAGCGCTTATCCCTTGCAAAGTCTCTCGGCGCCGATGACGCCGTCAAAGTCTCAACAAACCCTCAGGTTTCTATCTTTGCCACCGTCCAAGTTTATTTTAAAATTCTTAGATTTGATTTTGAAAACCATTTATTTAATTCTTAATTCAAATTTATCTCAACAGGATTTAGAAGATGAAGTTTCTAAGATAAATAAGGCCATGAAAGGTGGAGTAGATGTGAGCTTTGACTGCGTGGGTTTTAATAAAACTATGTCAACGGCCCTCAGCGCCACCCGTCCGGGCGGCAAAGTTTGTCTCGTGGGCATGGGTCACGGCGTCATGACTGTCCCCCTCACCCCTGCCGCTGCCAGGTAATTAATTAATAGTAAATCACTTGTTTAATCCCCACTAATAACGACAAGTAAACTAGTTTTATTAGGCCTAGTGGATGGTGAGGGTGTCGTGTCTGATAAATGTCTTTTCTCTGACACAGGGAAGTTGATGTGGTTGGAATCTTCCGGTACAAGAACACATGGCCGCTGTGTCTCGAGTTTTTGAGAACCGGCAAGATCGATGTGAAGCCCCTGATAACGCACCGTTTCGGATTCTCCCAGAAGGAGATTGAAGAAGCCTTCGAAACGAGCGCGCGTGGAGGAAATGCCATAAAAGTCATGTTTAATTTGTAAAGTTGAGAGAGCTACTGCAAGTTTTTACCTTATCCAATTTCTTATTAGAAAGGTCGGCGAGAACATTATCCGTTAACAAGGCATTGTTGAATAAGTGCCATTGTATGAATTAAACCATAATAAATATTAATAGTATTTTTTTTATTGTTATTTGTAACCTCCATGGACTTGTGGTTGTGTTGGTTGACTTTGGATGCGTGGCGCTAATATCTTTTTCTTGGGCATACACGGATAAAAGAAGAAATTTCTTCCGGTTATAGTTGAATGTCGTGATCATTAACTACCCAATATCCTTTTAATTAGGGTAACATAAACACTCATCTAGCCCAATATCCATGGATGAGTGTTATCCAATCCACTTAATAAATATAAATCACAAATTGCAACAACCCGAGTCAAAGTCTACCCATTTGCCTCCTAAATACCTACAACCCACCGTCGAAGGTGAGCAAAGATAGAAACCTAAGGCTTCAATTCAAAGTCCCCATATGCAATGACGTATTGATACATGCTACAGATTTTAAATTACTACCGAAAGGGATATATTGAATTCAAATGTAAAAGGACGGTTGGATATAATATACCTACGGAGGAAAAAAGAAAAAAAAGAAAAAAAAAGAAGAAAAAATAAATAAATTTCGTGTAGTCATAGTTGCATCTCGTCATCATCAACTACCCAATAAATTTGGACATTACTTTTCTCACCACTCTTAATTTGGGATGGCCCATTCATGAGTGTAACTTAATCCACTTAATAAATATCACAAATCGTAACAATTTGAGTCAAACTCTATGCATCTTAGTCTTATTTCTTAAAAATATGTTAGGTTTAGAGTCCTTTTAAACAACGTGATATTTTAAACTATTCAAAGGGGACAAATTTAAGGCGCAAGATGTGAACACACCGACTAAACCAACTGGCATATCCTTTTCTTTTATTTATTTTATAGAAACGATAAGAATATAGTTATAATAGACTTTTATAACGGGCCAATAAATACATAACAAAGCTATATCAAGCTAATCACAAATATATATCATCATCGTTATCCAAAAAATGATAGAGAAAGATCAAAGGCTAGTTAGTGACATGGGCCATTTCAAAGTGGATTCAAATTTTTTTGGTTACAAAGTGGATTCAAATTTTTTTGGTCACAAAGTGGATTCAAATTTAAATAAGCAAGGACGGATGTATTATTTGGTAAAGAAAGCATGGCGAAGAGAGTTGGTACCACCATACAAAAATGAGTCATGCTCCCACGTGGACTTGGATTCTACAATTTTTTTTATTTATGAAGACTTGGATTCTACTTGATACTTGGAAGAAATAGCAAGAAAAAAATAAACCCTAAATGCTTGGGGTCCCCTTATCCTACAAATTTTTGGGCTTAAACTCTTACCTACTCACTGAATGCAACCTTCTCTCACCTACTCGTTAGAGCTGACTTTTAGTAGGTATTAAGGATGCCATTGGCTGAGGTTGACTCAGATTCTGGGGTGGGCACCGCGTGGGTGGGAATTATGCAACAATATACACATGAAGTTAGGCACGTGTGTACAAGTGCAACAGGACAACTTGGCCCATGATTTCTCCCTAGACAAGGTAAGAAGCCTGCACCTGCACATGCACATGAGGTTGCCGACCTTTGATTTTAACCTTTGGCCACACAAACAAAAAACAAATTAAAGGAAATACATGTATAGTCCTCTGCGTATACAGAATATACGATTATGCTTTTAAAATAAAAAAAAAAAGTACAGTACACATATATACCATAACCAAAATAAAAAAAAAAAAAAAAAAAAAAAAAAAAAAAAAAAAAAAATTACATCTTTTAGAGCCCACAAACTCATCGAAGTAAAATGGACTTGTCAATGTGCTAACTTTTATTTATTTTTTTTTCAAAAGACGACCAGAGAAAAATTTGTCCTGCGTTTACACTCCAAAGTCTAAAACATTAACGCGTACAGATGCTCCATAAAGCTCGCTCTCTAAGGAGATTTGTCCCGCAGTCAGTCGCAACTTTGCATGGGCCAAGATGCTTTCTTTACGTCCATGGCACACAGTAAAGGGCGGACTGCGAACAGTGCTGCTGCTGATGCGACTAACTCCTACCTCTATAAATCCAAAAGCTCCCCAACCCATCATATCAGTCTGACCCCAAAAAAGAAAATAAAAAAGAAGCATAATCTCTTCCTCGGACCTACACTTACAAATGAACCCCAGAAAAATGAAAATCAAGAAAGAAAAAAAATTAATAATACATTGTGGCCCGTATAAATAATCTCCCCCCTTAGGCAGTTGAAGCCAGGTCGGCCACCCATTTCCATACTCTCACTTGACCGGTTCCATCACCCGTGAAAAACAAGCCACCAGGGCCTACCTGGATTGATCTTATCTCCTCTTTTGAAAAAATTTTACCCCTCTCGGAAAACCTAGACCATATAATAGAACCAAAGAAAACAATTAGAGCAAAGTAAGATGCTTGAAAAATATGTTACCTAAAAATGAAAAGCAAAAGAACTAGGGCAGAGAGAGAGTGTTGAAATCTCACGCTGGCAAATCATAGACTCGGACAGTGTTGTCATTGCAAGCGCACAGCAACACGGGCTTGGCTTCTGAATCATGCATCCCGCACAGTGTAATCAAACCCTACAGCAAGGTCATAAGCATTAAAGACTTGATATTTCATGTCGGGAATTGAAATTCATGGATAACCTATAATGATAACAGGTCCAGGAAACTGAAAATTAAGCACTAGGTGAAAGACTTTATAGTGGGGAATAGAACTTATGATAACAGGTCCAGGAAACTGAAAATTAAGCACTAGGTGAAAGACTTTATAGTGGGGAATAAAACTTATGACTACAGATTTCAAATCAAACTACCCGCATAACACGGTAACAAAGATGACTACATAATTCTAACTAAACATAATTTGCTAAAGAAACAGAACTTGCATTAGAGCTTCTAAATGGTAGGCCATGGAGTTTCAGCCTTCAATATTCCTCCGGGGAAACTTAAAAATGCCTATCTTGTTCTTAATCAATGCAGGAATAGCAATATAACCGAATAATGAAGACATATATTGAAACATAAACAACATACATGTTCTTCCTTGTGAGTATATGTTACTTCCAAGTTTCCACTTTGAGTAGCAACCCAGACCTGCACAAACCAAACAATTGGAACTAAATAAGTTTACAGTCCTAGCGCAATACACAGTTACGCATACACACCCACAAAAATCCTTATAAATCATAGAAGTGAGACAAACCTTTAATTGTTGATCCAAAGAACATGATAAAAGAAACTGATCCCAGCAAAGAACAGACATCACAACTGAAGTATGCTCTGTTAGCGTTTGTATACACTGCAATGTTTCCAGGCTCCAAACCTAAAAGAATACCACATGAGCATGACATGACTGAACTACACTTGTGGAGCAATTAAAGGTCTTCACGAGTCTTCCACCAGCAAGCGTTTATGCTTATTGCAGAATACGTATGATACTAAATCCAACTTACCCTTATAGAATGGTCCATTGAACCAGAGTAAAGCCTATTTGCTCCAACTACTAATGAAACAACTGCAAGAGTGTGACCTTTCAACGATGCAGCTGGTTCGAAGCAATTAGTAACGGCATTAAATTTCCATGCCAATATAGAACCATCCTGCATCAAAAGAAAATTTTGGCTAAATATTAAAAAATATATATGCTGATTCCACACACGCATGCACAAAGGAAAATGGAGAGGAAGCAATGGAGGAAGTAGTAGATGCAAGCGCCTTCCACAATGGGATGCAATCTGCTTTTTTCAAGATTTAAATATGATTATAAAAATAAATAAAAACCAGCGTGCTCCCTCAATATGGTCTATAATTGGATGGTTCACACAATGATGCTGCTGTGAGCACAGAAATACTCACAGCTGAAGGCCCTAACAAGGAGAGGAACCAAACATAAAATTAAACCATAAAAGTGGTCAAGGAATTACCTGCGTACCAGCAAAGAGCAGATCATTACCCACAACCAGGGCATAAACTTGTCCTACAGGCCCACTAAGACTCAGTTCAGAGTTAGTTTGGGTGTTCCATGCCTACAAAACCATATCCACAACCGAATGAGGCAAAATATCATTAAAGTCTGCTGCTATAAGCTTAATTTTTAGGAGATTCGTCCTGCCTACCTTTACAACATCTGGTATACCAACAAATACCCAAGGACCTTCACTGATCATACAACCTACTTCACCGCCAAGATTAATTACTCCCAGGCACTGCAAAATAAACAAATACAAGCACATGAATTATTTTCCTACCCCTCTGGATTGACAATGAGACATGTGAAAAATATTATCCAACTATGTGAAAATATTATCCAACTATCTAAACTGAGAACAATGAACTGGTGATTAAGAAAACAAAAGGCCAATAATAGTGACATGAGAAAAAAAATCTCTAGAAAGCTCTCCAGTTCTCCCCATAAAATCTCTCAAGACCCTTCTATGCATCCTATAATAAAAGCCATGTTTCCCTTCTACAGTTTTTATCATTGCCACTCATAAGTCCACACACTTTACTCGCTGAAGTAATCTCTCCAATAATTTGACTACAATTTGACAAGTACTGTGGTCAGCTGCATTTTAGTGTTGTTGATTAATTTCTACTTTCTTTACAGAGATACTACCTGGCATTACAATTTTCACATTCCTATCAGGGGATGACATCCTTAAAATCATGATTGGTAGGAAATTCCCGTGTCCAGTGCTTACAAATCAACTAAACTAAGCCCTCATCTAAAGTTTATAAATGGGATAAGCTACAGGAGTTCTTTTGCCCATTCCAATTAAAGATTGAACTTTCAGCTACCAAATAGAAAGGGAACAGAACTATATCTTACTTAACTATAAATTCTTAGGAACCAAACATAGAATTGAAAATTGGTGTTGCCCAAAAGTGAATGACTACCTGACCAGATTGGCAATCCCAAACCCTCACAGTCTGATCCTTACTCCCAGTATAAAGCTTATCAGAGCCAGACGGCAGTGCAATCCCACTAACGACCTGTTCACGAAAAACACAAGAAACCACATCAGTTGACAAAACATAAAGATCAATAAAAGGCCAAAAGTACAGAAGAGTAACCCCATAAAAATAATGACAACCCGAGATATATAATCTAATCACCTTCTGATGCCCATCAAGCTGTGTCAATAAGCTGAAGCTATCCCCCATACTCCAACAATGCAAGAACTTACACTTATCCCCATAGCTACAATTCCCCTGAACCCAATAATTACAGACTTTCTCCATCTTCCTAACAAAGACCCTAGTCCCTCCAGTGCGGCCCCACGTCGAAGAAGCCCCGCCATTGAAGTTATTTGGACCCCGGTTCCGAGCCGATGGACCGTCGGTGGTAGCAGAAAAGGCGTGATGGCGCTTAGACGACGCCGTTCCGTTGAGACCTTGTTGTGACGGTGGTGGCGGTAGCTCTCTGTGGAGGAAAGGGCAAGGGTGGCGATTGCACTTGCCTGCCCTCCAATGGAAGCATACCTTCTGGTTCTTGGATGGGTCGGATTGGGGGCCGCCTAATCTGTGGAAGACCCGTTTGTTGCCCCCTCCATCTACATCCATTAGCTACGAATTTGAATCTCCCTGTAGCTAGACTTGAACTCAAAGCTTCGATTTTCCCCCTTTTTGTGTGTGTGTGTTGTTTAAAGATTTTCAATATTGATTGGATGGATTGGTCGATTGGAATCTGATAATGGAGTTGGAGAGAATCGGAAACCCAAAATTCCTCTCTCTCTCTCTCTGGGTGAGGGATTAGGAGATTTGAATTTCACAAACCCTAATTTAATTATCGTAATTTGGAGGAGGGGTTTTGATTTGCGAGACTCTCTTCTGTCTCTCAGTCTCTTCAGTCTCTCTCCCTCTCGGTAGGGAGGGAGGCGATGTACAAAACTGGAATTGCGTCATGTGTACGAGAACGTCGAATTACTTAAATGCCCTGTCATAATAAGGGTTTCTTCGTCTTTTTAGATACCCGAGCAATTTTGAGGATATCATCCTCATCCTCTAAGAAATTTGCCAAAAAATAAAATAAAAAGATATCAGGCCTTTATGCCAAAAGAATTAGTGAAAATATAAAAATGACTTGGGCATCACGTTTCATACTTTCTGTTTTCTTCGTTATAGTAAATTTAGGTTTTAGATAAGTAAATTTAGGTTTTCTTCGTTATGTTCCAAATCTTATGTTCCAAATCTTATATATAGCAAATTAGATAAGTAAACTAACTAAAAAATGTGAATTCATAAACGCATGTATTTGCCATATTGTTTCCAAACAATCCACATCAAATCACTCATGAATTTTTAGGGCCTTTGCCCTCTCCCTCTACCAACTCATGAATTCTTTAATTTAAACTTTGAATATGTGGATTAAATTGTCGATTATACTTAACTTATAGTGTTTTTTTTTATATATATACAAACGATAGTCTATTTTTTAATTTAATTTAAACTACGGTGATGAGAATTTAAACTTGGGTGCATAGTGAGGAAAACATCTGATCTAGCCAACTTGGCTAAGCTTATATCTGTAAAGTATCACACTATTTGAGATATGTGGTCACATGTCATACAATATAGTAAGATAAACATTAATATTGTTAGTATATTCTTTAGAACTAGTCCATATAATATTATACATCAAAATCTTATGGCCCTGCAAAAGCTGCATGCCTCTCAAACTCCCACCTTTGGAAAGCCATGCACTTTCCATTTTGGTCTCAAAAGTTCACCTCATCAAAGGCTAAAGGGGTCATATTCCTAAGATGAAGACAAATGAAGGTAGATTTCGTTTACATTTGGCGGATAAGAACAGAAAAAAATTGACTGTCTCAACTTCTAAAGCCCATGTAGTCTGATACACCGTATCATAGGTTTGTCATTTGGGTTTTTACCAAATTAAGGAAAAGTCCATACAAACTTATATTATGTATTTTCATCATTTGTCAATTCTATCTCTCTTAACAAGTTGTCGTTTTCAGCTTCTAGAAGAGAAACATTTCTACATCTGTGTTCCCAACAACCTCTTTATTTTTCTTTCATCGAAAATAACAGAAAACAGAAACAAGAAGAAAAAAGAAGAAGAAGAAGAAGAAGAAGAAGAAGAAGAAGAAGGTTTCATAGTTGATGACGTCCATACAAGAAGATAATGAAGTAGGCATGAAGTCAAAACTTGCATGCACGTTGTTTCTTGTTGCCAAGACAATTTCTCACCAACTGTTTAGTTCTTATAGACATTAAAATCTGCCATTAAAATGGTTTGGTTATGAGTTAACGTCATGTCAAAACTTAGTTTTATTTTTACTTTGTATTTTCCTCGGTATAATTGGATTGAAGTGTGTGTATATATGTTCAAATTGTCACAAGTTTCTCGGAAAGGAAAGTTAGTTTTGTTTCCTCTTTTGATGAGGGAAATAAAAAAGGAAAGTGGTTAGGAAAAGCGATTACGCGGTATTTTAATTAAGCCAGCGAGTAGAGAGACCCGTATTTGAAAAAAAATTATATAAAAGAAGAACTAAAAAAAAACAAGGCAAATTGCCAATATTGATGAGACAGTAGAGTAGAAGTAAATAAACAAGGGGGAGAGCCAAACATCATAGGCAATAAGAGTTTAAAGCACTCGGAGGAAGCCAAAGCCAAGGAGAGAGAGCTCAGCCCACAGGACAGGACAGTTCTGTCTTGCGGAGCTCAACTCAACCACTGCTCCAACGGACTCCTTCGTCTTTGCCTTTTATTTTTGGTTTCTCTCTCTTTAAACAGGTACGTTTCCATCTCTCGCTCTCTCTCTCTGTGTCTCTCTGTATCTGTTTGAGTGTGTGTAAAGTTGGGGTTGTGGGTTCGCTTGTAACTACTTAAAAATATGGATCTGGGTCGATTTGTTTTCAACTGAAATTGGAGGGCTTGAGTTGAATTTGGGTTTTGTTCCTGAAAGTTGGGGACTTTTTAGGGTGATGGGTTTGGGTGCTTCTGCTTTTGCGAGGTGGATAAGGAAAATTGTGCTTGTTTGCAGATGACTAGAGCTTGTTACTGGAGATTCTTGATTGATCTGTTCATAAGCGTGGCTAAACTTTTTTTGTTTTTGTTTCTATTTTTGGGTGGTGTGTTAAAAGTGGGAGATTTGTGTCTAAATTGAATTTGCATTCTGCTTTGTGCTTGATTTTGAAAGTTGACAAGTCCAAAACGAAAGAAAATGTTAGTAGAAAGCAAAGAGATAGTTTTTCCGCTAAATAGAATTTGCGCCAATGGGTATTGTTTATAATTGCTTTTAGTTTTGAATTTAATGCGTGAGACTGAATTTTCTTAATTCTTACAGTTTGATTTCCACCCAGATCCACGTGATCCAGTCACGTTGAAAAGGAGTTCCCCGTTGAAAGTTTGAGCTTTTGTTGTTCTGATGGTTTAAGTTCTAGAAGCATCGTTGGCAACCTTAATTACTACTTTGGAAGAAGCTTCTCTTCTGATTCTGAATCCAGGGAATACCTGTGCAAGCAAAAGAATCGAGATATTGACTTCAAACTTCAAATTTTTCTTCTGTTGGAATAAAAGGTTTTGCAATAGGCCACACAAAGCCGTGAAAATAGAAACTTGTGGACCAAGCTTGTGAATAATATTCTGGGTGGTTGGGGGAGCAGAATACTGGTATGGCTGTTGCCAAGAGCAACAGCAGCAGTGCACCATCAACACGCCCATGCAATTGTTACGAAGTCCAAAGCTTGACTTCCTCCGTTTTGGATGCAAACCAGACTGCAAATCTAAAAGATCGGTACATTCTTGGAGAGCAATTAGGTTGGGGGCAGTTTGGTGTTATTAGGGCGTGCACAGATAAGTTGACTGGAGAGGTGTTGGCATGCAAATCAATTGCTAAAGATCGATTAGTGACCTCAGATGATGTGCGAAGCATCAAGCTTGAGATTGAAATTATGACCAGGTTATCTGGACACCCAAATGTTGTAGATCTCAAGGCGGTTTATGAGGAGGAAGAGTATGTTCATTTGGTGATGGAGCTTTGTGCAGGAGGGGAGCTTTTCCACCAGTTAGAGAAGCACGGAAGATTCTCTGAGTCTGATGCCAGGGTTCTCTTTAGGCATCTGATTCAGGTAGTTTTATATTGTCATGAAAATGGGGTTGTTCATAGAGATTTGAAGCCAGAGAACATCCTATTGGCCACAAAAGCCTCCTCATCTCCAATTAAATTGGCAGATTTTGGTCTTGCAACGTACATCAAGCCTGGTACTTCCATACTTCTTTACTTTTTGATGATTTACTTTTTTTGTTTTGTATTTAAATTTTCTGCAAACTTTGAGTTCAGTCAGATGTTTGACAATATTTTGGTTGAAGCAGGGGAAAGTTTGCATGGGTTAGTAGGCAGTCCATTTTATATAGCTCCTGAGGTACTTGCAGGGAGCTATAACCAGGCTGCGGATGTTTGGAGTGCGGGGGTTATTCTTTACATTCTTCTAAGTGGAATGCCACCATTTTGGGGAAAGACAAAATCACGGATATTTGATGCTGTTAGGACTGCTGATCTGAGGTTCCCATCTGATCGCTGGGATCGCATTACTGAATCAGCTAAGGATCTGATTAGAGGAATGCTCTGTACAGATGCTTCACGAAGGCTCACTGCTCAGCAGGTTTTAGGTAGGTCAAATGTGACCACGTGCACACACACAAGGTTTACTGAAATGCTGTAACTGTCAAATCCGGACGTCCCATTTTTGTATTCTGGTTGGCATATTTGGAATGTGGAAGGTAATAATTGGATGATTGTTAATATATTATCAAATTCTCTAAGATGATCTTTATTAGAAGAACCAAATGAATTACCCATTTATATTGACTGTAACATTAACAAAAGATGGTTGGTAGATGGTTTGGAACTTTGGAGAAGGCCTACTCTTAGGTTAATGCTTATATAAAGATACTTGCCATTTTTTGTGGTGATTCATGAATACATGCAAAAATATAGTGGTTATAAATTGATACAAGATTGGAGTCAAATAGACCTTTGTTATTTATCTACACACTGTAGTTCTTCTGAGAAAGCAACGTACTATTATTATGGACAGATTTTGCATCAATGACTTTTCTTAACTCTGCACTCTGTGGTTGACTGGCGAAGTAATGCAGTTTATCTGTGTACTTGACTAATCTAGTAGGCTTCAAGTCCAAGAGATGCAACCCTTATGTTTCTTGTTTTAACTCATTATATAATTACTCTGTTTAAAAAAAAAAACTCATTATCTAATTACTCTGTGGTCTTTGTGAACTTTCCTTTTGTAGATCATCCTTGGATGAGTAGTCAACTGAGTCAATGTGAAAGTGTAGGCTGTGACAATGGTAGCTCATTCTCTACCTCATTTATGTCCAGGAGTCGGGACATCAGCTTTGGGACTGGATCACCTAGTATATGTGATGCCCAGTCACCTGCATTTACTTGCAGGTCATCTTTTTCTTCTTTCATGGCAGAACCATTTACTCCATGCATAGCATCCAATGGGTTTTCATTCTGCGGAAATGGTGATTCTAATGGTTTGGAATGCTCCTCGCCTGTTCCCTCAATGCCAAGCTTTGCGTTCTTCAGCCCTGGCTCTTTGGTTGAGGAAAGTAATTGTGCGTTAGAGTTCTCAGCCAGCATTTCCAGAGTAGACGCAATTCATGGAGGTATTTTGAGTTACTTTTTCCTGCTCCCTGCACCAGTATCATAGAAATCCCATCTCAATCGTATCAATGTATTGTGATGCAGAGACAATCACAGGGAAGCTGCTCTTATTGCCAAATTCCCTTTCATTTGGACTTGAAGCTAGAGAAATGGTTAACAAACCAGTGGAAGCTAAAAGGACAGGTGGAACAATTGGATCCAGGACGTCAGCTATTCACAGCAAGAGGAACCGTACAATCGGACTTGGTGAGCGTGAACAACTAGATTTCATGGTGACCGAATCAATCATTCGTTGGTCGTCATGCACACATCTTCCTACTTCTCTTAGATCTTCTCTTGTCTGTTAATTGTGTGGACCTAAAACAGTAAAAGATAAGGTGGAGGGGGTCGTGATGAAATGTTATGGTTTGCAGAAATCAAGGCGCTCATGTGAAGTTTTTGAGCCTCTATATTGTATCAAGTCCACATGCCTCCATTCAGCTGATTCCTAATGCTTAGTGCCAATTTTCATGTTAGTTTCAAGTAGCTGGGGGGTATGATGATAGGTGTCTTCCTGATACGGAGAGTGAATTTTGGATTTTACTGGTAGGTAGGAAGAGTAACAGATAAGGTGGAGGCTTCTGGTGAAGTATTAATATTATGGTGTGCAGAAATTAAGAGGCTCGTGTGAAGTTTATGAGCTAATGTGTTGTATCATCTCTATGTGTTCCCATTCAGCTGATTCCTGATGTTTAGTGCCACTTTTCATATTGGTTGCAAGTAGGTGGTATGATGAGATTGATGTTTTCCTGATATGGTGAGTTGATTTTGTTTTTCAGCGGTAGGTAGGAAGAGTGCTGAGTTGTGGCTAATGAGCTTGGCCCTTTTGTATAAAGTAATTGTTTACAGAATGCTTTCCGAGTCTTATGATATATATATATATCTATTGGGGGTATTTTTGTTCTTTTCTTCTCTCTTCCTATATATCAGTTTCGTCTGTGAATAGTAAATTATTGATTGTAGATTTCTGTTTTTTGGGTTCCTCTCTTGGCTATGAATAACAATTTTCATGTTTGGGTTATTATTCTTCTGGATAAATTAAAGCCAAGTGATTTGGAGTGTGAGTGCTAGAATGATTGGGTCTGGGTCTGGCAAATTAAAGGGCTTTCAAGAAGATATCTGCATTATCACCTGTCTTATAGAGTGGAACACAACACTCAATTCACTAATTAAGCAAAGAAACACCATCTCATATTATTTATGATCTGCTACCCCTACTTTAGGAGACAGCAATCTACCATTATCATCTATTGGCTTGCCCCGTAGAAAAGATGATTATTTTATCATAACCAAAAACTATTAAAATTAAGTATCAATAAAAGCTTGATTTGACTTTTAATCTTTCTTTATCCCAAATAAACTCGAAGGTATTTGCATAACGGATATAATAAGTTGACCAAGGCCATGAGCATCCATCCATTACCAAATTTGTTTATTTATTTATTTATTTATTTATTCTTTCTTTTCTTTGGGCGGTCAGTCACCAAAATTGGTGTTGTGTTTCTAGAGCAAATCTCCAACAGATGACGCTTGTCCATGCATGTGTCAATTGCACAACCAGTCATCATAAAGGATAAGGTTTAGACTCAAAACCAGCCTCAAGTTTTGCAATACATAAAAAAGTGGGGCAGAAAAAAAACGATTAAAAAGAAAAGGAACTAGCTTTCAGTTAATTCTACCTTCACAAGACACAAGAGAAGTACCCGCCAAATGGGGTGCAGGATAAACAACTCAAATCCTCCTCCAGTTCTTCGGAAATTCTCAACACAAAGGCAAAGGCCTATAACAAAATCCATCTCCTTCTCTTCCCCTTCCAACAGTCAAAACCAACAAGAACTTGCTCCCATCACTGCAGCCACTCAAACCCAACACCCAAAATCGAAACTTTATACTGTTAAGTTCAGGACCTTGAGTGCCTGCAAGCTTGGCATATCCATATATCCAGACTTTGAATACAATGCTGAAGGTGGGAAAGGAACTGGGTCTGGTGCAAAGGTCGCAGAAAGCAACTTGAGCGATGAAGTTTCTGTGTCATTTGATCTTGAAACACTCTACATCCCACCATTGAAGAGTGCAACAACAAGGTTCTTGGGATTGCCATTGCCACCATTTTTGAAGATTGACATTGTCCCCGAGCTCTTCAGTGGGAGCATCAATCAAGAATCTGGCCAGGTAAAAAAAGGAACAAAAACAAAAAGCTTCAACAAAAACCATTGTGGCATCCTTCAAATTCAGCTATATATTCATTTCATGACCAATTTATTTGGTATTGTTGTGTTTGTAGGTTGATCTTGAATTCAAGGCAAAGTTCTGGTTTTCTGTAGGGAGTATCTATAAGGCTCCTCCGCTGCTGGTGAAAACGGTCTTGACATCTGAAGAATCAAAAGGATCAATAAAAAGTGGAAAAGGGGAGAGGTTGGATGAACAAGGAAAGTGCAGATTGGTTGGGGTGGCAACTGTTGATCCTATTGATGACTTTCTGATTAACTCCTTCCTTGGCCTACCCACTGAATGCCTTGCCGACCTCAATGCTATCATTTCCTTGTCTTAGTTCTTAGTGGTTTCAAGAGAGACAATCATTCCTTTTTCTGTAGTAATTTTGTATAATCAAAGCCAAAGGAAATATATATAGAGATAGAATCAACACTGAAAATCACGTTTTTTCTCTAAATTTCGAAAAAATTACCCACTACATGGGTTGGGTTGAAAAAGAATCTATACTGATTCCTCTAATGATGATCATTAAAATTTATATCTGTGAGTGTTACATAGCCTTACACTAAAATGTAGCTGAATTTGACTGTTTAACAAGAGATGATAACAAAAATTATAGCTATTTTATGATGTTCTTTTTTCTTTTTCCTGTGTTGTTATCGTTCTCTTTCTGCAACTATATAAACATCATTTGCTTTAAGAAATGGTTCCGTGACTTCTGTCCCCTGCATGATGAAATGAAAACTCAGCATGGAAGTAAATATGCTGCCAGAACAGAGAAGCAGCGACACTATGTATAGTGTATAGTTGTACAACTCACTTGTATGCTCCGTCATTGGGGAAATGTCTAAGCATTTTCCAAATCATTCAAATGCCAGCCTTTGAGTGCCAACCAATGAAGCGTATTGACCTTTCTTAGCTAATAATTCGGAGTGTGTACCAAGTTCTGCTATCCTCCCATCAGAACACAGTGCAATTTGATGGGCATTCTGAACCGTGCTTAATCGGTGAGCAATCACCAATGTTGTCCTTCGCTTCATCAGATGGTTCAGTGCACCCTGGACTAGGCGCTCACTAATCGCATCCAATGCACTGGTGGCCTGTGGAAAATAACTTCAACAAATGAAGCCTAAATCGGGGTTTGGGCTTAGAAAATTCTAATGCTAAAAATAAGAGCTTTCAAAACAACAGGGAAGCACAATGACGAGACTTTGATGTATTCAGATTCATTTGTTACCAATATCAGGATCGGAATCAAGTTTGTTGTTTGGAACTAGAGTATAGAAGCAATAAAAGCAAACAATGCTTTACCTCGTCAAGTATCAGGATTGGGGCATTCTTAAGCAGAGCTCTTGCAATAGCGATTCTCTGCAGATTGAAGAAAAGAACAGAAAACTATCAAGTTTCGCCACCTCCCTAACTTTCTCCCTCTCTCTCAACTGATTTTTCATACCTGCCTCTGGCCACCACTAAGTAGGCCTCCACGTTCACCAACTAGTGTATCATAACCCTTCAAAATCAAAATAAGCATTTCGTAAAAATAAAAAAACACAGGAACAAGCACAGTAAACACAACATATTTGAAAGACGACCAACCTGTGGAAGTGAAATAATAAATTCATGAGCATTTGCAGCTTTTGCGGCCTTGATCACGTCATCCTTGGATACATGATCATCTGGAAGCCCATAAGCAATATTTTCTCCAACAGACACCGAAAAGAGAACAGGTTCCTGTATCATTTATAAATGAAGAAAATGGTTCCAAAGAATAATCAATATTCAGTATCTCTTAGCTCATATTCATATTCGTTTTGGGTTGGATAGGTTTGACAACAATACCCAACTGAACCAAGAGCAAGCATTTCACTAGACTTAGCCAACCAAACATTAAGTCTTGGTCCTACCACCAACCCACCCCAAGCTCAAGCATCAAATGTAGTTGAGCTATTTTTGGACCCGGAAAAGGAAGGCTACCAAGTTTGGACATAAGAAAATAAAAGTTCATAGAATGCTTTAGGGAAACTATCATTGATCTAAATGGATGCACATTCCTCATAAAAGAATATCAATATGCAGTCATAAAGTATAGGTATGCAAAACGTAGGTTAGTTCCTTGATTGGGTAGTATAATGACCAAAATCAGTCAAGACCACACCACAAGTTGTCACCCCACAACTAATGAAAGACAAAAGGAACCTGAAACTACCAATCCAAGGAAACTTGGATGGTTACATGTAGTCTACAATCTGCAGCACAAGTATTTCCACCACTAGAATTGGATGCTCGGGTAATCAAGTATGAGAAGAACCAAGGGTAAGAAAATATAACGTGAGAATTATCCATAGCGTAACGTGTTATATCACATGTATGGGGATTTGAGAAATTACTTGATTCACTAAAGAGACAATCTGTGCCCATTCACTCTTGTCAAATGTTCGGACATCCTCTCCTGCAACTGTTATACGACCACTATTTGGCTGCAGAAGTCAGACATTTAGCTTATTTATAGGTTTCATCCGCTCAAGACAAATAAAACGAAATTGATGCCTCAAACATATAAAGAGAAGAAAAGCAAACCTCATAGAAACGTGCCAATAGCTGCACAATAGTACTTTTTCCTGCACCACTTGGGCCCACTAGAGCAGTTACAGTTCCACATTTTAGCGTTAGATTTAGACCATTTAAAATTTCAACATCAGGTCTCAAGGGATAAGAGAAATGCACATCTGCATAACAAAATCGGGTTACTCATTAGCACATTGGAACACTACGTATGCATAATCATACAGAGATAATTCCTCCCTCATGATAAAAATCATCATGACAACTTAATTTACAATGCAATTGGCATTAGAACCCATGAAAAGCAAGCAGATCATGCTAATAACTACATGGGCTTATTAGATGGTATATATTATAACCAAAACCACAGTGAGGAATAAACAAAAAAAGAAAAGTTGGTAATCACTGCACTTTAAAGACAATGCATCCATACCTTCAAGACAAACATCACCAGACCAAGCTAAGCGACTAATGTTACTAGCTGACTTCAGAGCTGACATGTAATGTGTATTTACTGACTGATTTTTCTCACTTGAACCATCAATGAGGAACAATCTGTAATTTTCATCAAGTAATTTCTTTTGTTGCATCTCCCTTTCTAAACCATAAGCAAGGGATTCATCAATTTCTACCCCAGACAAAACAGAGTTAATCCTCTCCACAGCAGCAAAAGTTCCACGAAGATCTCCAAAAGTATTAACCAGGCCTTGAACCTAGTTAGCTCAGACACTTAGAAAAAGTATTGCGAGGATGGAAATATTACTAAGGTATACATACAAAAGAAACTGACTCACAGCGAAAGTTAATGTGAACGTGTAACCAATGAAAGAAGCCACAGTTCCAACAGAGAGTTCACCCTGCAAGCAGGAAAAAATTAGCAAAATATGAATTTAGATCAATCGTAGCTGAAACCATGAAATGTTCTGCCCAATTGGTTGTTGACAAGATGAGGTAGTGCGAACACGGATGAATAAATTATGGGAGATGAGGGACTGAATCTGAATTAAGCTTTAGAAGGGTCACAAGTGCTTACCGCTTTCACTTTGCTTCCTCCAAGACAATATAAGGCCATTAGAGATATATAAACAACAACTCTAGTCAAAGATTCATTAAGGGATTTAAAAGTCCCGAGCTTTATTCCACTGCTCTGGTAAGCTAGCACCTGCCAAGCTCATGAAGAAGATGCTAAGTGCATTGAATGGCTTTCCTTTAAAAGAAAAAAATTCACTAGCTTGTATTACTTTACCTGTCTGCCAAACATTAACATCTGGCGCTTTTCCCCACCGAAGGATCTTACCTGCAACAGCATGTTGTTACCAATATAATGATCAAGTGCACACGATCTTAAACCACACTCAATTCTGAATGACAAAGATTGACTTCTGTGGCTGATAAAGACATTATCGTGTAGCCAAGAATTTCAAAAAACTTACAGTGCGTATGGCAGAAAATGTTTCTGTCACACAATCAGATATGGATGCTTGAGCTAATCCATAAGCCTTGAAAACAGGCACAGTTGATCTCTTGTATACAGCTTCAGAAAATTGATAATAGTCATAATCAGGGAAAAGAAAATGTTTCAACAACATAACATATTTCCCACCTACAGGCTACAATGAACATTAGGCAACCATCAAAAGGACGAATACTGGCAGTATTGGAAGATGTGAAGAACCTAATCTGATACAATTGGCAATTTCAGATACTAATATAAACAACTACTATTTGTGAAATATCACAAATTAGGAGCTGGTTATGATGTATAAAGTATTCCAAATCTTAGAACAAAAAGTCAATAATCCGACTTGTATTTCTGGTATCTTTTACCCCACTTCCAAAGGAAGCTTAAAACATGACAAAAATGATGATAGTTCAACCGTGGTGCTTGTTACTTCTACTGTAACCTATGCAAGAATCAATTTTAAAACAATCATGAAAGTAATTATAAAGCTCTATAGTTCCGTGAGATTTTCTACAATGAAAGCAAATGAAGAGATCCACAACCATCCTCATGTGAGGAAAAGCATACAATATCAATTTCAAAACAGTCTTGAAGATAAGATAAATACCAACTAAAATAGACACGGTCAACATCAGCACAGCCAGGATTGGTGCAAGTTGGGGAGCCAAAGCAAATAGTATGCATATTGTCCCGATAACCTACAAGGCACAAAGAGTGATAAATGGAGATGTATACTAGAGAACATGAGTGATAAATGGAAAACGAATCCGCCAATAAGATTCTGCTGCAAAGGGTTACTTCTTAATTTCCATTTTGTAATACAACAATTTGATTCATATAATTGTAACAAACACATTTGGAAGCAATCACATGATGTCAGTAAAGTAAATCTGAAAATCAATAAACCTTTTAGTGCTCTGGTGGTGAAAACTGAGTGAATTTCAAGATAATCAAAACCAGGTATCGCATGCATAAATGGAGGCAACATAAAGCTCACTTGTACTTGGTGTAGAGTTGCTTGCCTCAGTAAGTGCCCTGAATCCACGGTCCCTGGAAATGTTTTCGCTCACAACACTTTTAATAGAACCCAAATCGGATGTTAACAACCCCGTCAGTTCACCAACCTACATGGAGCAAATCCAACTCAATCAAAAGGTAGAAAATAGATGGTATCATATACAGTCCTCAAACAAAAACGTGACCTGAACACACATAATTTAAAATTAAAATAATAACATTAAAGGTCAACATACATACCTTGTAACGATCAAAAAACTCGACCTGCAAGGATGAACAAAAGAACAAACCAGTATCACAAATTAAGGAGAGAGAGTTCAAGTTTGTATTAATTAACACTACTGAAATAACTGAATTTTACCTTTTGAATCAAAACCCTTCCGAAAATCTGAGCTCTGAGTGTGGACATAACCTTTTCCCAAATAGTATTCAGGTTAACAACGAAAATTACTGTTAAAATTGGCTCCAAAGCATACAATACACCAACTTTACTCAGCAGTTTCCACAATGGCTCTGGCCTCCTCCCGATGAGTACTTCGAAAAACCGCCCTAGACAAAAAACAAGTCAAATACATCGATTTCTTTCCGTTCTTTACATTCATTTTTTCTCGCCAACCAAACAAAACATAAAGAAAATATGAAAATTTGAAGTGAAATTCTCTCTCTCTCTCTCTCTCTCTCCTCTCTCTCTCTCTCTCTCTCTCTCTTTCTCTCTCTCTCTCTCTCTCTCTCTCTTGTTCTGTTAGTACCTGAAAATGTGGGCATTGAGAGAGTGCAAGCGCTGCAGCCAATGAGGGCGAAAGCCGAGATGGCGAGCCTGAGTTTGTGCTTGAGCAGAAGGCTCAACAAGAGCCCCCAGCTAATCACGCTCGGCGACTGGCCCTTGGAGTCCGGCTCATCGATTTTCGGGTCGGGCTCACTGACAATCGGGTCGGAGGCGGGCCCAGACACGTAGGCGAAGGAGGCGGTGATGGTCTTTGGCGGCGGCGGCTTCGGCTTCGGGAGACGATAGTGTGAGAAGCGTGGGAAGGGATGTGATTGGCGGAGAGAGGACAGCGCGAGTTGCGGTTTGACTGTACGGGCGGGCGTTGAGATGAGAGTCGGGGGAAGAGGGAGTGTTAGAGAGGTCATGGCTGTTGCTCTGTTGCTGCTGCTCTCTACTCGAGAGATTGTGTAAAGAATATTTTGGTTGTGTATCGATCAATGGATACAATGGGAAAGCTCGGTCGGGTACAACAAGTAACAAGATATGAGGCTGATTGAAGGGAGATGTAGAAGATTCATGCGCGATTTGGAGCGCCAACAGATTGCTTCTTGGCAAAATGGGAATGCGAGATAACGGTAAAAAAATTTTTGGGAACAATCTCTTTCATCCCCACGCGCGAAACTACCAAAGTATCTCTATCTGTAACAGGCTGGCAGGGCTCTTTCCAAAACCTTTTTTTTTTTTTTTTTTTTTCTTCTATTTTAAGAAATGTGAAATTAAACAAACTCAATTGCGTATTAGGAAAAAAAAATCTTGGCTTTAGGTCATACAATAATTCAATATAAATAAATTGATCGATTTTTTACCATATACAGTCTCATGTTTCAGCGCTTCACGAGCAAAACAGAGACTAGAAAAAGAAAAGGAAAATAAAAAAGAAAGCTGGAGAGAGAGAGAGAGAGATAATAAAATAGAGGGAAAGACAGCATCAGCACGTCCAGTGTCACCCACGTGTCTCCTCGAGAATCGCCAAGAGTTGAGACCCTCACGAGATTCTGGTCTCCGCCCCATCGCCTCGATTCACCACCCCAACCAAGCCCAACAAAACCACAACAACAAAACTCAACTCAACTCGCTCACTAACTCAGTCCGTCCTCAGTGAAGCTCTCCTTCTCTCTCTCTCTCTCTCTCTCTCTCTCTCTCTCTGAGAACTGCTCTGCGAGTCCGTGGGAGGCAAACCAGTCGCATCTCCACACGAACATTCCTCGCCGGCTCTAGAACCCTCTAGAAGACCCCCTTCTCTGTTGACTTTCTGCTTCCCAGAATCAGATGTCTCCGCTTCGTTGCATTCTCTTCCTCGCTGCACTCTGCTCTCTGATTCCTGCTCTTCACGCTAGCGCTGGCGATGCTGATCCGATTTACAAGTATGCCTTTTTCTCACATGTTTCTGTTTAATTTTAAAACTAATTTACTGATTGGAATTTCCCTTTCGTTGTCTTTGAGTCTTCCCGAGTTCGTATCAGTAGTATTTGATTTCTTTATCCTATAATAATCGAACTCACTGAGTTAAGTATTTGAGTTCGATAGAATGCTCTCGCTGTTTGACGGATAAGCTAGGTTTTAGTTATAATCCGATAAAGTCTTCATCTGTTAGAGGTCGAAAACTCCAAAATCTGGAAAAGGTTTCGTATTTCCGTACAACGATTGGTGTCTTTGTACATGTGATGTTTTTGTTACTTTATGACGACAATGATGAAAATTCTATAATCATTTAATGCTAGGAAATTTTTTTAAATTTTTTAATGAAGATTAGTGACCTATTATTATCAGTGATTGGCATGCTCTGGTATTTATTCGAAGGAAAAAAGATAAAAGTGTTGTGTCAGGAATTATATGCCAGGAACATAGAGTAAATTTGTTCTGCTATTTGATGTGATTTCATAAGTACAAAATTTATATCTACAGGATTTCGTTTGTCCTGTTCTCTTTCTCGTGGCTGTTAGAATAATATTCATTATGATTTTGATGTGGTTTTCAGGTCTTGTGTGGTGCAGTGTGAAAAATCTGGATGTGTAGGAGAGAAATGCTTTCAACACTGTAAATTTTCATCTGATGGGAAACCTATTGATGGTCCATGGTACATGCAAGAACCGCTTTATTTGCGCTGGAAACAATGGGACTGCCGCAGTGACTGCAGGTACCACTGCATGCTTGCTAGGGAGGAAGAGAGAGAGAAACTTGGTGATAAGCCTGTCAAGTATCATGGAAAATGGCCATTTCAGCGTGTTTATGGCATCCAGGTTTTTCTCTCATATTTAGTACAGCACATTGGTTATTCATCTGATTTAGCTATTTTTACTTGCATATATGATGGCCTAATCATTTTGAATGAACTTGCTCGTGTTTTCATGTTCATAGGAACCTGTTGCTGTTGCTCTTTCTGCTCTCAATCTTGCCATGCAATTTCATGGTTGGATTTCTTTTTTCATCCTTGTATACTACAAATTGCCTTTGAATCCAAATAAGAGGACTTACTACGAATATACGGGCGTGTGGCACATCTATGGGATCTTATCAATGAACTCTAGGTTTTGGAGTGGTGTATTTCACAGCCGGTAAGTGGTTTTGAATTCCTTTACATCAAGAATGATTTCAACTTTTGGCCAAAAGCATATTGGTAGACCTTCTGTTTTCTGTCTTGACTTGACACATTGCAACAGAAAAACTATGCTATAACTTATAGTACTGATACACGATTAATGCAGTGATTGTGCCTAGTGTGAGGAAGAACACAATTTTGATATGTTCATGTTAAACGTAATGTTAATTATTTTCAGACAGTTTTTAACCTTTTTTTATGTACAATGTAGAGATGTGGAGTTAACAGAGAAGCTAGATATTTCTTCTGCTGTAGCACTACTTGGATTCTCACTCATTCTAGCATTACTTCGAGCTTTTAATGTGAGAGATGAGGCTGCCAGGGTCATGGTTTCTGCTCCGCTGATTGCATTCGTGACCACACACATACTGTACCTGAACTTCTATAAACTTGATTATGGTAATACATTTGCCAAAAACCTCCATTCATTGAATGACAAACCATAGTTTTTGTTGCTTTTAGTTCACTACTTGCTGTGGCATAGTAGTGGACTCAATCCTTGGACAATGAGCTTATACAAGTTTTGCAGGTTTGAACATGAAAGTGTGCATGGCCATGGGCATTGCTCAGCTTCTTACATGGGCAGTTTGGGCTGGTGTTACTCGACATCCGTCACGATGGAAGTTGTGGGTGGTGGTGGCAGGAGGAGGCCTTGCCATGGTCTTCGAGATATATGACTTCCCACCTTACCGGGGTTATATAGATGCACTTGCTCTCTGGAATGCAATCAACATACCTCTTACATACCTTTGGTGGAGTTTTGTCAGGGATGATGCTGAGTTTATGACATCGGCCCTCCTGAAGAAAGCAAAGTAGCAGTTCTGGACCTAAAGCATGAGTGATCAAATGGTGCAATATATCAAAGTACATCACGTGCGCACCCCTGTTAATTTATGAAGGTTCTCTTTTTTCTCATGTGTAATGCGTTTCTTCTTCGAAATGCTTACCATGATGTGGTTCCCTTCGTTTTTTGCATTTCATTGGTAATCCAATTGTTTCCACTGTATATGTGGGATGGGATCCAGATTTCCAGGTCTTTGTGTTGGTGCTTTTTTTTTCCCTGGAAAATCTCAGTTCGCATATGTAAGAATCAAATAACCAAGTTACTGTATTTTGCTGTAAATCTTTTGTGGAATACCATTTAGCATGTTGTCTTTATATGTAGTTGTGGCATATAAGTTTTTATGCAGAAAGGGTCACAATGATGGGGTTTATTCTGCCAAAACATTACATGCAATTCGGATATTATTGTCCAATATAGATCCCTACATTTTCTATTTCCTAGACATATACCCATCACTCTATAAATCTATGAGTAAAACCCAATTTCAAATTTAAATGACTAGTAGGATATAAGAGGTCGTAGTATTTCTATGTTTTTACATCATTGCCACTAAACTTCATATTTTATTTATAATTTATTTCAAGCATTTCATTAACTGCCATAATTGTAATTAATATACTCCCTATTAATAGCATATCAACCACCCCATTTCTTTTAGTTGTCATTCCCTCTCACATCTCGCCCCCTAAAATTACAAACAAACAAAAAATCTGTAAATTACACATCCAATAATGTACCTATGAACAATATAATATAAATATATACATATAAAATATAGGTATATTATTTACCCAAAAAAAAACAAAGTCAGTTACTTTGTAATTGCGTATATTTTTCATAATTAAAAATAGGTACACAATAATTTATATAAAATATAGGTACATTATTTACCCACAAGTAAATTATTTTACAATATACCTGTAAATGTGTATAGGTACATTATTTGGAATAGATAATTGTGTACACTTTTCATACTAGGTAAATTATGTTTTTCATAAAACAAACAAGTAATAGGTACATTATTTTGTCAACATAATTAGTATGTACAGTTTTATTCATAAACAATTATAAAGTGGATTATTAGTCATGTATAATTCATAAAAAGAAAATAACATAAACATTTTATTAAACAAACCGATTACCTAAATTTGAATTTATTGTTAAATTTTTTAAAAAATGTTTCAAAATTAATTCCTACATCCATTACAACCATTTGGAGATCTTTCCAAATTCAACATATGTCATTATATACAATCTAATTAAAAACTGTTTCCATATTGATTCCTACATTAATATACAAAATGCAATAATGGCTTAGTTGGGGGTATTTTTGGAATCTGAAAAGTACAATAAATCAGATTTTATGCTTAATTAGGTAACTTGCTGAGTTAGATCCTAGTCATGGGTTTTTACTTATACAAATTGGGTATTATTTATAGGAACAAAAAGTGAAGGGTTTTAGGTACGGCAAATTGAATTTGAAGGGTGTAAGCCAAATTTACTAATCTTTAAATACAATGGCCGAAAGACTAACCAAAAAGGTAACATGGGGAAAATTCAATTTTTGTAATATCGTTTTTTTCAATCAAGCAAATTCAATGTCGATGAATTGTTTATTTTATGGTGTCCAATATTCATACTTGAGTCATTAAAGACAAAATTCTAAAAATCTTTGACACTTAATTTGCCTTTTTTTTTATACATCAATTAAACAGTAATGGCATGTTTAGTCATCCGTAATCATATTAGGAGGAATAGAATTGAGAGGAGTTGGATTAAGGAGTGTTAGATTTTAAATTTTTATTGAAGTAGTTTACTAAGGCCCCTTTTGGGATTATTTTTTGGGAGTTTCACTAAAACACCCAAAATGGGGATTGAAATTATAAAAAAACCCAACACCCAAAACACTTTATAAACACACCCAAAACCCATCATTACACACACTCAAAACCCATTTATAAACACACCCAAAAAAATATACAATTGTTGATTTTGGGTGTGTTTCTATGTTTAAATAGTGTTTGAGTTTTTTTATAAATACATGTCTAGGATTGGGTTTATTTATAAATTTGTATTATTTTTTCTCCAAAACCGGCTTTACTTTAAAGTTAAGCAATTTAAGGTGTTTGGTAAAAATAAAATATCTCAATTATTTTGAAAGAATGCTCTGGGTTGCTTTTCAAAGCTGCTTTCAAAAAAAGTATAAATAAACCTTTAATGACTTTTTAAATTCCTAAAATACCATCATTCATTTTTAAAAATGACACCACCTCCACCTCCACATCCAACTATACCACCTCTACCACCACCGTTGCAGGCACCACCACCTCCTCATCCTCTTCCACCTCCACCACCAACACGACCTCCACCTCCACAACCGCCATCCCCACCACCCCCTTCTCTTTCACCACTATCTTCACCTCCATATCTTTCACCACCTCGACTACCACTACATAATTAGCGCATAACACTTTCAACATCATATCTATTTGAGTCATTATTCACAGTTACAACAATTTTTAGAATATAGCACATCAACCCCAAACTGGCCCTTAACCATATGGAATTGGATTATGAGCAGTACTAAATTACTAATTATGATAATGTCCTCGTTGTTTGGTTAAAGTATATGACAAATTTAAAATTTGAAATTGTATGATGATTTAATGGGTACAAAAATATGAATTCAGAATGGATTAGTTCTCATGTAATTAGAATACTACCTCCACCTAAGAATTGAATTCCTTCAAAATCAGGAATTCAATTCCAATTTTGTGTGAATCTCACTTACTTTTTAATTTTTATGTGAAAATAGAAAAGGAGATTCACTATTATACCAAATATAGGAGTTCAAATTATAAAAATATATTATATGAAATGAATTTTAAAAACATACCCAAAGTTCATTTACAACATAATAAAGAGACTTTTAACTTCTTATAAATTACAAAGCTGCCATCAATTTTTTAAAACAAGCTCAACCAAAAAACCTCATAAAAATCCAAAAATAAGTATCAAATTAATTTAATAATCAAAATTAAATTCAATATGACCAACCATCATTTTTTGGGTTTGTTTATAGAAATTAAATTGTGTAGAGTTTATCTATATTATTAGTGCTATGAATTGATATATAACTAAATATCTCAAATAGGAATCCTTCTAGGGAGTTTCACTAAAACACCAAAAATGAGGGTTGAAATTATAAAAAAACCCAATACCCAATACACTTTATAAACACACCCAAAACCCATAATTACACACACTCAAAACCCATTTATAAACACACTCAAAAAATATACAATTGTTGATTTTGGGTGTGTTTCTATGTTTAAATAGTGCTTAAGTTTTTTTATAAATACATGTCTAGGATTGGGTTTATATATAAATTTGTAATCCTTGTAATTGGAATTCAATTCCTAATTTCAATTTTAATTCCTGGTCGGTAAACACACTAAAAAAGTAAAATTAAAATTAAATTAAAAAGGCCTATAAAACAGGGTCCCAAACTGGTTATTTTTGGCCCAAATTGAAAATAAATTCCTTCAAAAGTGTTCTCCTGTGACGTCTGGGAGAGGTCCTCGGGGACAATGTTGCATCAAATTTAAAGAAGACAGTGGCAGACAATTACCAAACGCACATATATGCTTGGAACCCGCTTTAGGGTTTTAGCGAAGCCGCAATCCGTTTACCTCCTCATCAGCAACCCAATCAAACTTGCAGCGCCAAACCTCTTCCGTCATTTTCACATTAAGACTCCTCTTCAATCTTCTCCGGCCAACAAAGCTGCGGTATGTAAACGCACCATCAAACCCCACAGTTCAAGCGTTCCTCGCTTTCTCATTTTGTACTCTATGTGTGTATATGAATGGATAGTTGACAGTGTTTGAAACAAGGAATGGCTTACGATTGTTCAATTGTATTTCTTGAATGCCACAGATGGACGGTGGACATGAAGACCCAGAGAAGAAAAAGAAGAAGGAAGAAAAGGTTATCTTATGAAAGATTGCTTCTTGTAAATTTGGGCTGAGATTTCTATGTTTCGTGAACTATTTGTTTGCCGAAGAAAATTAATTTTATTGTTTTGTTCTTTTGGCAGGCAAGAGAGAAAGAATTGAAAAAGCAAAAAGCATTAGAGAAAGCTGCCAAGCTTCAGGTAATGATGGTTAATGTATTTTGGTTTAATTTTAGATTAAATTTCTGTTTTCTCAATCACAGTTTTTTGTGCTGTGTGATGTGTGCTGTCGCAACGTTGTAGACTGTCATTGCCTCAGATAATGCTATGATGTTACTTATTTTATTTTAAAAAAATTATTTGGTTTTAGGCGCAACAAGCATCCAGTTCTTCTAAGAAGAGTGAAAAGAAGAAGGTAAAGCGTTCCAATGAGGAAGAGGATAATCCAGAGGACTTCATCGACCCAGAGACTCCAATGGGTGAGAAGAAACGGATGTCTAGTCAAATGGCGAAAGGGTACAGCCCAAGTGCTGTAGAGAAGTCGTGAGTGTGATGTTTGTTTTCATCATTACTCTCATCAATTTCACTTCTATTTTCTCCATAATGTATATGCTTTCTGATTTAGGTGGTATGATTGGTGGGAGAAAACGGGGTTCTTTGTGGCAGATGCTAACAGCTCCAAACCTCCATTTGTCATTGTGAGTGTCACATTTGCTCCATCAAACTTGTTATTGGGTTTGCATTGATTTGGTTGCCAAAAAAAAACTGGTTTTCACATATATGACAGGTTTTGCCGCCTCCCAATGTGACTGGTGCCCTTCATATTGGACATGCTCTTACTGCTGCTATTGAGGTAACATCCTTACATATATTCCTGAAATTGTGTTATTCATTGGTGGCTTCCTAAGTTTGTTTTAAAAAAATTAATCAAAGTTTTATTTTATGTGATATTGTTATATGCAGGACACTATAATTCGTTGGCGGAGAATGTCTGGATACAATACCTTGTGGGTGCCTGGAATGGACCATGCCGGGATAGCAACACAGGTTGTGTTCTTTTTCTTTTAACAATTGTTGAATATTAACTGTAGTTACCCTCATCATCTCTACCATACATATGCATGTATATACATTGAGTCTAGATTATGTTAATTTCATATGTTGACGTATATACATTGAGTCTAGATTATGTTCATTTCATATGTTGTTTGTTTTCAGGCTGTAACATTATGTGCTATTTATAGGTTGTTGTAGAAAAGAAGCTAATGCGCGAAAGCCAGTTAACCAGGCATGATATTGGCAGAGAGAAATTTGTGTCTGAAGTGAGTTTGAACTGAAACTTGCTAGAATTAGGTCCATTAATAAATTTGATGTTCTAAAGTTAACGATCCATTCATACTTATTCACACTGTTGGCTGGCTATCTTGGTTGTGAAAGGTTTGGAATTGGAAAAATAAGTATGGTGGCACCATTTTACAGCAGCTCCGCCGTCTCGGGGCTTCTTTGGATTGGTCCCGTGAGGTAAGGGTTTGAGTTTCCTGGAGCTTGGTTTGGAGCAAAATGTTGTCTTGTTAAATTGCATCTTCTGTTTATTAGACCTAGTCATGAAGATCTCTCTCTTTCTTACATGTATATATTAATTATTTCTTTCATTTTGCCTTTTTTTTTCTTCTTCTTAATTTTAGTGCTTTACAATGGATGAGAAAAGATCAAAGGCTGTGACTGAGGCTTTTGTAAGGCTTCATGAGCAAGGGCTTATCTACAGGTATGCGTTTATCCCAATATTGAACTGCTTCTTTGATTATTTTGAGTTTTTCAGCTCAGAGCACTATGGTATAAACTTATAAGCTTCCTTGCTAAATATGATTTATGTGATAGCTTTGAGAAAAAGTTAATTTGCTAAGTTCAGTAGGAGAAGATACAACTGTGCTGTTCTAGGTTTAACATTATATGATGGTGGAATCTAGCTTTATTTTTCTGTTTCTTGTTTGATTTCATACCTATACATATTATTTATTTATTTCGTCAGCTGGTATAAGGATTGGGTGATAATAGTAACCAGCAATCTACCTCATCAGTCATTCGCACCCATAATTTCCTTCTCTTGTCTATGTTCCTTTTATTCACCTTAGTTAGGACACTTTCCGGATTTTTCTTTACAGGGATAATCGCCTAGTGAATTGGGATTGTGTCTTGCGGACAGCAATATCTGAAATTGAGGTTAGCCTTCCCCTTTCAGTGTAATACTAATTAATATTTTCAGCATTTATTGAATTTCTTTGGTGTGTGTAGGTGGACTATATTGATATAAAGGAAAGGACATTTCTAAAGGTCCCTGGGTACGAGAACCCTATTGAATTTGGGGTTCTAACTTCATTTGCCTACCCTCTGGAAGAAGATTTGGGTGAGATTATTGTGGCCACAACTAGAGTGGAAACTATGCTTGGTGATACAGCTATTGCTGTACATCCTGGTGATGAAAGGTATCAGCATCTTCATGGAAAGCATGCCATTCATCCTTTCAATGGAAGAAGGATTCGTATAATATGTGATGCGATTCTCGTTGACCCAGAGTTCGGGACTGGTGCTGTAAAGGTAAAGTTTAATGGATAAGTTGTGTGCTCACATTAAAGTTTATTTTTCTGGTTTATGTTTCAGGTTAAAAATATCTTTGATCTCTCTCTCTCTCTTTTGCCTCCTGCAGATTACCCCGGCTCATGATCCGAATGATTTTGATGTTGGAAAGCGCCATAATCTTGAGTTTATCAACATCTTTACTGATGATGGAAAAATAAGCCAGGATGGTGGAGAATTTGCAGGGATGCCACGTTTCAAAGCCCGAGAGGCGGTGACTGAAGCACTAAAGAAGAAGGTATCTATGTACAGTACTACATATATGTGTAACTTATATATCAACACTGATTAAGAAAGACACTTATGTTCATCAACGTACCATGTCATTGAATCTATGCGGCTGTTAAATGCTCATGCAAGAGACAGTATATTTGTTGTTGGTGGTGACCTCCTGAGCTGACTCCCAATGCTATTCAAGTAGCACCTCTAACACTATCACTGACTCTCTCCTCCCACACTTCTTTAATATACTTTTCAACTTAATACTCATTCAAACAATGAATTTCAAAATGGAATTTTTTGCATTCCCTTCATTCCAAACACTCAATACAATTTGACATAATCGCTTGTAATTGTGTAACTTGTCAACATCACCAGTTTTGCATTGCATGTGCATCAACCTTTCTTGTGTTGGAGGTACTGTCTATTTGTATTGTATCCATTTCTCTGTGGTTTATGGATGTTTCAGTGACCTTATTCTCTGTGCATTTAGGGCCTCTTTAAAGAAGCTAAGGCCAATGAGATGCGCCTTGGAATATGTTCTAGAAGCCAAGATGTTGTGGAGCCCATGATTAAACCCCAATGGTATGTGAAATGCACTGGTATGGGAAAAGAAGCCCTTGATGCTGCTATAGATGAAAAAAAGAAGCTTGAGATCATCCCGACACAGTATACTGCTAATTGGAAGAGGTGCTCTTTTTTCATTCTTTACCTTCATGTTTGAAATTTCTAGTGTATGCATTGTAAGTAATAATAAGATCATAATTCCAGGAGGTAAGTTCTATTTTCGAGCATTTCCAAGAACAGAAGTTCAGGTTTTGAACAAGATTTTAGTGGATGGGAAATCTAGTGGTTATCCTTGTATCTTGGCAATTTACTTAACTGGCTCTCCATTGTATGAAAAGTCTGTTGCCATGTACTGCTACCAGTTTGTAAAAAGTGCATCAATTTTATTTACGGAAACAGGAAAGTACACGGAAATTCTTTTCGGGATTTTTCTAGCTCTGGTTTTAATCTACTTGTTTGGCAAACTATGCTTCTACATGACTTCACTTTTCTTCTTTCAAACTTTATTTTGTTTATCTAGTATTTATTACTGCTAAATGTATTCAAACTACTTGTTTGGAATTTTTTTTTGTTTTGCGTGTTGCCTGGTTCTTTTGATCTTTGATTATCAACCTTTTATCGATCCCCTTCCCTTGTTTGACTGCTTTTAGGTAACATAGATAGCTGGTTCACTTTGTCTGTATTAGTTCCTTCTCTTTATATATACTCTTATCAGTTTATACGAACGAAAAGGTTGAAAGTTGTACTTAGTTCTTGTCTCAATTATCACAGATGGCTTGAGAACATTCGTGATTGGTGCGTCTCAAGGCAACTCTGGTGGGGCCACCGTGTTCCTGCATGGTACATAGTATGTGAGGGTGATAATCCGGACAATTTTGGTGCATCATATGAGCGGTGGGTGGTTTCAAGAAACAAGGACGAGGCCCAAGCACAGGCTAGTAAAAAATATGACGGGAAGTTTCAATTAATTCAGGATCCTGATGTGCTGGATACATGGTTTTCTGCTGGTCTCTTCCCCCTGTCTGTGTTGGGCTGGCCGGATGATACAGAAGATCTGAAGGCATTTTATCCTACTTCAGTTCTTGAAACTGGGCATGACATTCTCTTTTTCTGGGTTGCTCGCATGGTGATGCTTGGAATTACATTGGGTGGTGACGTACCTTTTACAAAGGTGGGTAAGAATTTAACATTATAGATTTACATTGGGTGGCAACATACCTTTTGCCGAAAGTATAATTTACCAGTTGCCTGACTTTTAAATGTAATAGCATATTTACTTCAGGACACAGAGTGTTTTTCTGGTAAAAGTTTGAAGGAAATGAAATTTTGTGGAATCTTACTACATTGTTATTATGAGATTCCAAATGTTACATGTCCATATTATATTAGCTTGTTAGGATGTCCAGTGGGTGTCTGTTAGAGACACATGACTTTAATCTACCATTTTAATGTTTGCAAGATGGTTGTGAACACACAATTGAAGGATGTATGCACGTTCTGCTATGTATATCTTCCTGTTATGATTTTTATATTATAGTTTGAGTACTGAAGTGACGGGTGGAATTTGGTTTTTCTTCAGGTATATTTGCACCCAATGGTTCGTGATGCACATGGGCGTAAAATGTCAAAGTCCTTGGGGAATGTCATTGATCCACTTGAAGTAATAAATGGTATTTCCCTTGAAGACCTACACAAGAGGCTTTTGGAGGGGAATTTGGACCCCAAGGAATTAGCTGTCGCCAAAGAAGGGCAAGTAAAGGACTTTCCTAAGGGTATTGAAGAATGTGGAGCAGATGCTCTACGTTTTGCTCTTGTCTCTTACACTGCTCAGGTTTAGGCTTCTATCTTTCTATTTTTTGCAGGTAATGGTTTTCTTCCATGGATCTTAGTAATATATCTGATTTTCTCATCTTGTCTTTTCAGTCTGATAAGATAAATCTGGACATCCAAAGGGTCGTGGGTTATCGTCAGTGGTGTAATAAATTGTGGAATGCAGTACGATTTGCCATGAGCAGGCTTGGAGATGATTATGTTCCGCCCTCGGATGTAAATCCAGATGTGCTTCCTTTTAGTTGCCAGTGGATTCTCTCAGTACTAAATAAAGTCATATCCAAAACTGTTTTGTCACTGGAATTGTACGAGTTCTCAGATGCAGCCACTTCAGTGTATGCTTGGTGGCAGTACCAGTTGTGCGATGTTTTTATTGAAGCTATCAAGCCTTACTTCTCTGGTAACGATCCAAAGTTTGAGTCTGAAAGGGGTTTTGCACAAGCCACACTATGGTTATGTCTTGACAATGGGCTGCGGTTGCTTCATCCATTTATGCCATTCGTCACAGAAGAACTGTGGCAGCGGCTTCCATCACCAAGGGATCACAAGAGGCCAACATCAATTGTGATATCTGAATATCCATCCACTGTAGAGGTTAGTTTGGTCCTATAATAAAAGAGAAAGCCACTACTGGATAAACCATTAGGTAAATAGCTAGTTTCTCTCAGTAGGCGGATACAGAGTGTCTGGTTACTTAATGGGGTTCTTGTTAGCAAAACACAGTTATGTTATCCTGAATCCCTGATGATATCAGATAACAGTGGACAGAAATCATTGGTTGATTTTACAGAGCCCATTCTTCATGACCCTGCATGTCTTGTCCCTCATTCATACTTATCATGTTTTTCTTTAAGTTCTTGCCCTTATCGGTTTTTTACCATATGTCGTAGTTTAATAATTGGGAATTGCTTAAGTACTTTGTCTTCAAAATGAAATATGGTGATGGTGATCAGCCTAAAAATAGAGGCAATTGCTCTTCTTAGGTCATAAAGGATTACTCAGAGGAATGGTGGTTTTCATGCATGACCTTGTACCTTTGAAATAAGTTGCTGGAACAATTGTTTGGCTGTTGACCCTAACCTAGTATGCGTGTCTTTCTATCTTCTTATTCTTCCAGCGCTGGACAAATGAAAGGGTGGAATCAGAGATGAACCTTGTAGATTCTGTTGTGAAATCTCTCCGTTCACTTGCAAAAGAAAGTCGTGAAAGGTATATCTTGCTCGTGCAGTGTGATGTCTTTTGATTTCTAATGTTGTGAATTGATTTAGCTATAGTTTCTCATCCAATATGTATTGTTTCTTTTAGGCGGCCAGCTTTTGTGCTTTGTCGGACACCGTTAGATAGGGAAATACTATGCAGCCATCAACTGGAGATTGAAACCCTGGCCAATCTGTCATCTTTGACGGTAAGTGCTTTGCTTATGAAAATCCGCCCTAGCATCTTTCCTTTTTCTTTTGGTACTGAACAAATGAGGGCCTTAGTTGTTATGTGAATTTTGATCAATTTGTTCTGGGTACGGGAACCAAAAAAATTATCATAAGAAGGAAAGTGATTTCCTTTTGACTGCTTGTTGTGATGTTTAGCTAAAGTTGTGTTTCACATAAATTTAGTCGACGTGTGGAACTTGGATGATTGTATTTTACGCATGATGTTCCCTATTACATCAAGTTAAACTTGGCGTTCCAGTAGTTCATTAGATGTTTGGATGTGATCAAAATTCTTGCCCCTACAGGTAATCAATGAGAACGATGCTGCTCCAACTGGATGTGTGGTGTCTGTTGTAAATGAAAACCTTTCTGTCTATCTCAAGCTCCAAGGAAGTCGTTCTATAGAAGAAGACCTTGAAAAGATCCGGAAAAAGATGGAAGACATTACATTGTAAGATCATTATCTAAATTAAATTACGTGGGGACTGAAAGCTGAGATTACCAGTAATATAGTATCTGTAATGTATAATTTGATTCAGGTGAAACCCCTGCATGTTTTTGAGTTCTGACAGCTGATATTTATACCTAACAGACAGCAGGAGAAGCTATCTAAGGCGATGAATGTAGCTGGTTACAAAGAAAAGGTCCCTGAGAAGATTCAAAAAGCCAATGCTGAAAAGCTCGACTCGCTTGAGAAGGAAAAATTGTCGCTTGAAGAAGCAAGCCAACACATGGAAGCACAGATATCTTCTGAGCAATGAACACGAGTGACTTTCAATTTTGTCCGGTGACCTCACTTACATGCAGAGACACCTTCAAGGAGAGAAAAGGAAACCCCAAAAGGATGAAATTTCGCGTTGCAATGTTGTTATATGTAATACATTTGGAGAAATAGACTACAAATTCTTATACAATAACACTGCAGAGAGATTTAATAACTTAAAAAATAGTGCCTTTTTTTCTTCTCAATTATTTCATTACATCTTCGTGGAATACAATATGTTTGTCCCCGTACTAGTCAAAAAGTTACAGGTACGGACCAAAAGGTAGTACAAAATTTAACAATTTCTCGCAATACAAAAGCTGCTTTCTTTTTACATTGTAGACTAAAACTAAACTATTAAGTAAATTAAATGGAATAACTCCATAGTGGTACGTCAGCATATAATTCCACGTCGTCATCATCCTCGGTGTAAAGAGGTGGAGACAACAGCATCCCTTCGGCCATATTTGCGAGGAGTCCTGGCATCCCAAAAACAGCCTCCTCATCCATATAAAACACTTGTTCCGATGCTGACGCGCATTCTGACGCGGCCACCGCCGAAGCTCCAGAAACCTCATCCGACCCCTCCGCAGGTGGCCGAAACGCCTCAGCAGCCTCGGAAGCTGTGGTTTGAATATCCTTGGCGTTGGCTGAAGCCGGGACAGGCAGCCGCCACGCGGAGTCGGCAAAGTTCAAGCAAGCAGACCGACCTCTGAGCGTGATGGCCGCCACGTCATGAGCGCGCGCTGCCATTTCGGCGGTGGGGAAAGTCCCGAGCCAAATCCTGGTCTTCTTGTTGGGCTCCCGCACCTCGCAAACCCACTTCCCGGAGTTCCTTCTCCTGACACCACGGTACACGGGGTGCCGAGTCTCCTTGAACTTCTTCCGACCGGCCCGCTTCTTGGGATAAGTGGACGCCAGAAGGACCTCCTCGTCCGAAAAGTTCATGGATACAGGGCGAGCACTGCTGTTGTCGGAAGCGGACGAAGATTCCGGTACCTCGGAGGAGGCGCCGCAAGGCTGTGGGTCGACGTAGTAAGGACAGAAACCATCCATTTGTAGGTAGGACATAGTTTTATGTTTATCTAAGAAGTAGTAGACTAGTATTAGTAGAGAGCTTTCTGAAAAGTCGCAGAGATATTGAAATGGAAAATATGGAAAGGTGGATTTTGTAGTAAGAAACCTAGTACTGAAAAAGCAGTGTGATTGATTGTTGGTTTGGTTGTGTACTTCTTTTATGGTTGATTTGGTATGTGTATATATATATATATATATATATATATATATATATTTGGAGGGGTTATGTACAGTATAGGTGACTTGGCATATCAAAAACGCGAACACGGAGTTGGGTGGTGATAAGGAGCCAGGCTGGGTTTAGTATAACAAACAGCTGTTGTTTTGTCCCCCCTCAACTTGTGTTTTATTTGTGTGTGCCAAGTGTGTGGGTTTTCAGTTTTGAACTTTTGACTGATATATTATATTCAATATAAGTGAATCAATGAATCTTGGGCTCCTACTGTGCTGTCAGTCAGAGTCAAAGGGTCGGTCTCACTCCTCTTTCTTTGTCTTTTATCCGTTTCTATTCCTACCTGTTGCACTTGAGGGAGACATATTGCTCGCCGATTATTTCTAATTATATTTCCTACACTATTTTTGTAATCTAATTATATTTCCTACACTATTTTTGTGGTTTAAAATTCAATCTCTTTATTTTTTGGTTGTCAATAACATAAATAAGTTTGTTTTATTTGAATTTGACGAGCCTTTGAATTTTTTCTAGTTAATTGTAACTCCTCGTTTTTTTTCAATTAAATTCTATTGTCTTTCTTATTACAAAAAAAATAAAAAATATATATGTATAAAGGGAAATAAATAATTAAATAGACCAAAATAAGAATCTGTCTCTAATTAAAGATCGGCGAGGGTGAAGTCCAATCCAAGCAAGCAGAGAGGGCTGGTTACCAGGAAGCTGCTAGCTAGTGGGGAAGGGGAAGGCGGTGGTGACGTGGCCAGAAGTACAAGCAACATACCTTTAGTCTTTAGATATGAAGGTTAACTGAAGTTTGCTTTTCGTTGGATTTCATGATTACACAAGAAATCCAGTGGATTTCCCGCGTAAACGCGTGGACCACGTGGGCTATTAATAAATGAACATCTGGGCCGCCCCTAGATTTTCTTAAACTAAAATGTGGATGAAGCATGACCTTATCCTTGGGCCCCCTCTCCTCCTTTATCTGGTTCTAGTTGGTTCCAAATTCTACGAGTCAGTCTGGCTCCGGAAGCAGGAAGCAAGAGAGAGGAAAGTGAAGGTGTCAATGTCTTGGGGTCTCTGGAAAGTGCCACGAGCCCAACTATTTAGGCTTCTCCATTCAAATTGGACTTGGTAAACTATTATTATTATTACAGTAATAATAATAATAATAATAATAATAATAATAATATATAATTGTTCCTTCATCTAGAAGATATGGCTTCTTGGGGCAACGAACAATGTTGTTGTTGTTGTTTGATAAGGACATGAAACATGATTGGGCCTCTCAAGTTTCTAGATATATATGGATAAAGAGGACCTACGTACCTACATAGTCAAAGGGTTGGCTGGACTTGCACTTGGACTTGGAATTGGAAGTTTCATGCATGCTTGGTGGTTTTGTAGATTACTAGAAACTTGACCAAGGAATTAGCATAGGGTTTGGATAAAATTAGTTACCTACCGAGTCCTACGCTTTAGCTAAGTTGAAATGCATTGTTGACCATTTTACCCCAAGTTACCTAATATGAGATATTTTATTAACTAGCCTTTAGTCTAGTGACATTTTCTTCAATTTTAGTTGGAAGATATCACAAGTTCAACTCACATTGATCACGATGATCATATATATTTGTGATGAGTTCGATACTTAATTGTGCCCTCCATTGTGGTGGCGTAGCTTTGTTTTGTGGCGGTCTTGTATACTGAAAGAACATGCCCAACTCCCAACGCCGTTTCATCCCTTTTGGGGGAGGAGGCCTTGTCCCCTCCACCTTCCCTACCATTCCTGCTTTGCTTCTCTCTCTCTTTCAAGGTTCCTCTAAATACATATGGGTACCCCCATTTTGCTGAGTCTGAATCTCTATCTTTGTGAGGAGATGGTGATGTGCTCGAGCTTTAATGCTCGTTTCTGGGGCTTTATGCCTCGTTTCTGGTTTACTTCCCCAAATCTCCCCCATTGCAATCCTTTCGCCGTTGTTCATTGGCTGCCCTCCGATCGGTTCATGCTTTCCTCATCTAGGTGTACAGGTGTTTACGACTCTAGTGGAGTTGGAGATTCTCATGCTGACCATTACTCATACCCCCTTTCTACTCGCTCGATTTGGTTTCATCTATTGGCTACTACGTCAATCCCGCAAAGCGAGAAATCTCGTACATCGTGGAATTTGTGTAGAGCTACGGCATCGCTACGGCTCGGATGCTTGCACCACCTCTTTCCAGTCTCATGGTCCTGTTTCCCTTGCCTTGGGGCTGTTATTATAGTGGTTGGCTTCTGGTGGCTGATTTGTGGTGGATTAGTGTTTCATTTGAGTTTGATGTTGTTTTGCTTATTGGGTTCTTTTGCTCTTTTTAATACAGCTTGCTTTGTCTTTTTTAAGTTTGTTTATCTGATGATATCTGTTAAAATATAAATATTGTTTGAATACTTTGGGTTGTTCTTTATTCTTCTCCATAAGGAGGTATATATAGGAGTTTACATATGGGGGTTTTACAAGGAATTAGATATAGTAAAGAATTAGAAAAGTATCTCCTAATTGTACAATGATTTATCACTTATTTAAAAATAGGAAAGTAAATCCCTTAATTAATCAAGGAAGTAAATCTCCTTGATTAATTAGAAGACTCACGTCAACACTCCTCTTCAAGTTGGTGCATATATGTCATGAATGCCCAACTTGGTAAGTGAGTCATGAAATACTCTTCCACACTCACAACATATGCAATATCTGATCTTGGAGGACGTATGAAGAGTAGAACCTTTGTTGGTGGTGATAGAAGAAGGAGTCTGGGTAGCCAAGTCAGCAGGATTGACCGCATGCTTCTATGAGTTTGCAATAAGATGGAGAATCGTGGGTTCCTGACATCACATCAAAAGTAAGATGTGATATGAGAATGTGAGGAAGGTGATGTGAGAAATTTCATGTAGGAATTGGATTCAAGAGGTATGTGTATAAGATTTGATGGTATGTGTTTAGGTATTTGGATAAAAGGATTTGAGGACTTTAGATTTGAGGGATTTGGATTTGGGGAAAAATATGTGAGGAATTTGATTTAGGGTTTTGGATTTGAATATGAGAAATTTGAAGAAATTTGAGATAAGGGTTTAGAGACAAAACAACTTCTCTTCACTTCCTTTCTCCCCTTGAAGAGAAGGGGTCATCAGAGTCAAGAGATATGCAGTATCTTTATGAGAATACGTCAAGATAATAGGGATATGTCAATAAACATATAATTTTCACTCCCCCTTCCCCCCTTGAAGAGGAGGGGAGGAGAGCACTTAAATTTCAAGAAGAGCGCAAGCACAGGTCACAAGAGAACCTGGCTCTGATACCATGCTAAAATATGAATATGGTTTGAATACTTTGGGTTGTTCTTTATTCTTCTCCATAAGGAGGTATATATAGGAGTTTACATATGAGAGTTTTACAAGGAATTATATATAGTAAAGAATTAGGAAAATATCTCATACATTGTATCAATGATTATATAAAAAAAAAAAAAAAAAAAAAAAAAAAAAAAAAAAAAAAAGGGGAAAAATAAACCCTTAATTAATCAAGGAAGTAAATCTCCTTGATTAATTAGGAGACTCACGTCAACAATATCATTATCTGGGACAATCTGTTTGTTCTTGTTTATATGATATTGCAGATTAGTTAGTTTCTCTAACTTCCTTACTGGGTTGCTCTATTTGTTGTTATTGTGCCCTCCCTGTTTTGGGTGAGGCTTTGAAATGAAGTTCATCTTCCGACCAAAAAAAAGCTTTTTGTTATGTGTATATTGTAGTTGTAAAAGTAGTTTGCAAATATCCCACGGTTTGTCAAGAAAAACATGACATGGTAAATAAAATTAAGAAATTACAAGTTTATAACTCAAAGTCCCAATTCTCATCACTTTATCACATGCCATGTTAAATTGCAGGAGGGCAAGGATTAAAGAACCTATATGTACCTGTCTGTACATTGTTAGTTTTGCGGTCAAGCTTCTTCAAACCTACGTACAAAGCTTGTACAGGGATGACGAACTACATATCCCCAAGATGTAATTAAGTGGTGGTGGGATCAGGATCAGCCAAGCATCCATTGGAGGGCCAACAACACCACTAGAGCTATCTAGTGCTCTCTTCCTCCGAGCCAGCCGACATGGGAGACTCCATATCGAATCAACATCCGTTTGTGTGCTCCTCCTCCTTCTTTCCTCAAATTAGAAATCTAAGGGGTGATGATCTTGTCTCTATAAAGTTAAAGGTCAAATGGTCAATGTAGTCATCTTGTATTATATTGTTTCCTTGCATGTTCAAAAAGGTTATCATGCACTCTTTACAGTGAAATTTATGTTTTATATGTATTTTAACAATAGGATAATGCAACAAGTTTTTTTTTAAAATGCCAATAATAGTTTCATATCTTTAGTATTATTATTCTTTTAATACTGGTACATTTTGTTTTACCTTACCCATATATATATATATATATATCTTATTATAGAAAAGGTAAAGCTAATCCCGCAAGCTTTCTGTTCTTTGGTTTTTGATATAATTTTTGTAGCCGCTTTAGGAACAGTCGTCCCCCTGATGCATTGAATCCTTCCATTTCCATTATACGATCCGACAGCATTCGCAACTTTTTAAAGCAGATCTAGTCGCTCGCACCCCCGCTTTTTCATACCTCTATTTGTACTAATAATTTCAACCTAACCTTAGTGTGTCTTGAGGACCGCCACTTTTTCATACCCTAATTTTCAACAAGTTGATCTACATTCTCGCTGTTTCGAGAAATAGGAAAAGCCAATCTGTTGCCTGCTTGAAACAAACTTTAATCATTCGTGCCATCCCTTTTCACTGTTGTTTTGAATGCAAAGCTGAAATGCTAGCATAACTAAGGCTGCAAATAATGCATTTCATGTGTGATGTGAGCACAGAAACTTGTGTCTTAACTGCTTGCCGATTCTCATCATTCGATTAAGATATGTCATATTTAGCATCAAATTAAGGAATTCAAAAACCTCTCTCTCTCTCTCTCTCTCTCTGACTTTCAAATACCAAGGCAAGTTCGGCAAGAGGGTTAAAACCGTGCGCTCAACCCTAGATGCTGCTTTGGTTTAAATAGCAACCAGAAGGGTTCCAGAGTCAGATCGAGTCAGATGGAGAGGAAGAGTCTCATTATTAAAAAGCAAATGCAAGCATCATGGTGGATGCATTTAAACCAACGGGCAACGGCAATAAGTTTTCCGTAAGTAGAAATTGATCGCATCTTTTCTTTTGTCAGAGAGAGAGAGTTAAAAGAGATCATGAGAGAGAAAGAGAGAGAGATTCCAGGAGAAATACTATTGCCATTTTTTGTCACACGCATTCTTGTCTTTTTTTGTTGTTGATAAATTACGCTATCGACAGCAGGGGCTAGTGGTACATTTCGAGGTAATTTGTGCATGAATTTTATGTCAAACTAGCTCTCGCTACCTGCGGGCATGTGACGCTTATTGACATGCATTTATACATATTTATTGTAATTATTACTTTTAGTACTCCTGTTTTAATTTTCTTAATTTTGCTCACATTCTTTAATCCCTTTATCAACTTTGGTTAAATATTGAATTTCATCCATTTGAATATCTTAGGGTCAACATGTAATATTTTCTTGTCCAATTTCTCTAACTCAATTGGAATATCACCAATTTCGCTCTAAGTAAACCTAAAAATCTTGGGTTGCATATATCTCTAAGTTTTCCCCAAAGCCGCATTCTAGCACTTAATCTAGCTCTTCCAATATTGCATAAAAAGTAATACGTTATCCGTGCACCTAACCACGAAATTATAAAAAATGAAGAAAATTGAACATTTGTCTAAAATTGATAAAGAAAGTAAATCATAAGGGTAAAATTAACCAAATAATACCTAAAGTGACAACTACGATAAACCAGAAAGATCATTTGTGACTTTTAGTATCTTAAAATTAACCGTGACAAAGAAGATGAATATATACATTTATATAATTAGTATAAAAAATAATGTAAAAAGTTCATTTGCTTGTTTCACTACACGCCAAGAAGAGTATAAATCAATAATAATAATAATAGGATGTGTTTATGAAAGAAAAATTATACCTTATAAACCATTTGCAAAAGTTATTATTGAAATCCCAATCTCAAATGCTCTAATCCCCATTGATGAAAACAAAAATTCCAAAATTGCATGTTTTGTCTTAATTTGTTGGCATTGAAACTTCATTTATGCACCTAACCTAGGAGTAGTGTCGACTGGAACCCTAGAAATCTATTATGATGTATATGTGGAGTAGTGTCTTAATTCCATCGATTGCTTGCTTATATTCCAAACTAAGACTGATATTTCCCCCAATTCCTTATAAGCTCTTGCTAGGTATATGTGGAGAAGATGTAAACCAGCTGAAACTAAAGTCCAATACATTTGTTAAGCTCATCTATGTTGAATTTTGAGACTGATTTCATCGATTGCTTACTTATATTCCAAACTAATACCGATATTTCCCCCATTCTTGAGTACAGAAGTGATATTTTCCCCAACTCCTTATAAGCTCTTGTTAGATTTATCAACTTTCCAATGTGAAACTCTTTACCTTCACATTCTCACAGATACAACATATATAACAGATATGATGTTTGATTCCAAGAGAAAGAATCTTTGTACAAATCTTTCCATTTTTGGATGGATATGCGAGACAAGGACAAGGCCACGCTGATTGTTAGTTGACAGGGGCCGCCCCGCCACATAGAGCGTTGCCTTACACATGTAATTGCTTCTTCTTCGACCTAAGCCACTAATCTCTCTCTCTCTCTCTCTCTCTCTCTCTATATATATATATATATATATATATAACTCGTATTGAATTGTGTGCTTACCTAATACGTACGTACGTAAGGCGAGGAGTATACTAGCTATATACCTACACATGGGATTAATCAATTGCCATTGCCTGCTCATATCTCCTTTCTCCTTCATATTTACTAATTCTCATCTGCAAACCAAACCCAATTATTATATTCTCCCCACTGTCTGGATATATGTATAGCTAGCTGTGAGCCTCTAGTGTGTCTGTAACTGAATCTATGGAACTCAGACTGCAACATATAATAACATATATTCTGCAGACTTTCAGTCAGTCAGTGAATAGTTCTTTCAAAGGTTTCGATCAGCAAGTCCAATCATGATCAAGAATTATAGTTAAATTTGTTTTGGTTCGGGTGATAAAGTATATATGATCAGCACAGCATGCCCTAAAAGTTGAGTTGAGGTACTAATAATCACAAATAGAAACAAGGAAATAAGAAAATTGAGGAGCAGATTTTGGAAGATTTTATACCGTCCACCCATCAACATGTAGACAAGTTACAGCAAGCAGCAAATTTTCTTCTTTCTTATACGGCAAATAATATATACAACTAATTTATTAATAATTATTATAGGATAGTAACAAAATCGATTCCATGAGCTAGTACAACACAAATCAGCTGCAGTAGAGATGAAGCTAGCATCTAAATGCATATATCGTTGTACAAAAATTATTCCACAAAAATACACACACAGAAGAGAATCGTACCCTCAATTTTCGTCCGAATTAAGCTCAAACCACTGATGATATCCACCAACAAATTTGCTTATTGATTCCTGAATAATAATCCAAAAAGCATTCAAAGAAAACTAATCAATTAATAGCTCCAGAGATTTTCTCCTCCATCGGAATTCCCAGGCGAGTCCTCGGAAGAGATTCTCGGGGGGCTCACCAGCATTCCCTCCGCCATGTCCACCAGCAAATTCGGCATATTCAAAAGCGCTTCCTCATCCATAAACTCCTCCTCCTCCTCCTCCTGCCCAACCCTACCCTCCTCATTTTTTACCCCACCCGGCTCCGATCTCCCTCCGCTCACGCCGGCAGATATCATCTCTGCCCTCGACTGAGCTGCCCTAGCCGCCGCAGCGCGTATGTCACTCGCAGCAGAGGAAGCCGGTATCGGATACGTAAGAATCGAGTTGGGGAAGTTCAGCGCCGTATCGGGTCCTTTCAGAGCGATCGCCGCCACGTCGTAGGCAGCCGCAGCCATCTCCGGCTTGGCGTACGTCCCAAGCCATATGCGCGTCGTCTTACGCGGCTCCCGAATCTCGGACACCCATTTCCCGCTCCGGGACCGGATTCCCCTGTACACGGGGTGGCCCCTGGGCGATGAGGATGTGGAGGCGCCCGAGGGCCCGGGTCTGGGCGACGATGAGCAGTCTCGATCGTGTGCTGCTGGAGGAGTAGGATCAGGAGGAGCGGGAGGAGGAAGTAGTATAAAGGCAGGGTTGGAAGAATTGGAGGTTGGAGTTGGTTGGTCACTTTTGGGCACGTTACGATACGGATCGGCCATAAATAATATATCAACTAGACATACAAGTTGTGCATGTATGATGTATATATCATATATATATTTATGAATTCGTGACCATGGTCCCGTCATGAGAATGCATATATAAACGGGGTTTTGTTTTTGTAAGAAGCGTGGGGGAATCGCGGAGATAACCTAATTGCCTTTTTTTGTTTTATTTTTTCTGACTTTTTCTATGTATGGGGGGTAATGGTATGGTGGTGTGACAAAAGAGTGTTAATAATTAGTACTTTTTATTAACGAGTGAGATGGTGGTGATGTGAGGTGAGGTGAGGCCACACAGCGCACACGTATTAATTAAGAGTAAAGTTAGCTAGCGATTAGCTGGTGGTACCGATCTGGTCCGGTCAGTCAGACTCACGTATCAAACTCGTTCTTCATCTCCCTCTTTCTTTTCATAATTAATTCATTGATTTGCTTTTGTGTTCTGTTGTGGGCTTGTTGGGGTGATATTTATAATTTAATTGCATCATGCTCAGCACTCACTCAGCAGTCAGCAGTCAGCAGCACAGCACCACCCTCTCCATCCATCTCCGTGTTTGGTGTTGACTGTGCGGATCTCCTTCTTTATTTTTCTTCTTTTTCCGCGATGGAGATACGGATCCTTTTTCTTTTAGGGATTTTTAAGATTTCCTTTTAACACGGGTTGAATTTAGGTCATGCACAATCCAAACCAGAGTTTTTGTGAACCAAAAACTGGAAAACAAAGTGTTGTCATGTTTCATTAAAAAAATAAAAAATAAAAAAGGGTTTTCGGGTACTTTTTCTACCCTAGCAAGCCAAGTCATTATCCACAGTACTTTACATTAAATAGAAAGAAAGAAAAAAGACCCATTAAGACCCACATCCCCTTTTTTATGGGCACAAAAGACCCACATTTACTCTATACATTAATAAATAAAATAAAATAAAATAAATAAAGCATATTTTCTCTGTTTCTCAGTCTGACCGTTAAATCTCAGTTTCCTTATCTAAAACTGTAGAAACTCTGAGCAAACAGCGCACGGTTGTCTCAGATCATCCATGGAGACCATTCGATCAACCTTCCCAATTTTCCAAACCAACCCAGTTTTCCTCACTCCCAAGCCTCTTAAACCCTTCAAGGTTTCCATCAAACCTCCACCACCAGACTTCAATTTCAGGTCAGAAATTTCAGACCACTCAAAGGCCACAATAGCCAAAACTCACCCTGAGTTGCTTGATTTGGCTGAAAATGGGACCTTGTTCTTCATCGACAAGAGCCGGTTTGGTCCAGTTCCGGCCTGGAGGACCGAGTTCGTCGAACCGGAGGCCATCTGGTTAGTTGGCACCACTCATATTTCTCAAGACTCTGCTCTGGAGGTTGAGCGCGTTGTCCGGGCAGTGAAGCCAGACAATGTGGTGGTTGAGCTCTGCAGAAGCAGGCAAGTTACTTGGAAATTAACGTTAAAGCGTCACATAATTATAAGATTAGCACTTCTTTTTTCTTTTTTTGGATGATCTTAACTTAAATTGCTGCAGAGCCCAATTTCAGAGCTGGGATTATGTATGCTAATGCCTCCATGGATGGTGAGGCAGGCCAACAATTAAGGTCAAATATGTTCTCTTTGACTGGAACTGGGTTTTTTGGCGCCGTTGGTCGGAGCATAAACTTAGGTAACAAAACAAGTTCGATCCCCTCTCCTCTCCGTACATTAGAATAACGCTTCGTAAAAATAAAAAATAAAAAATAAAAAAACTTATTTCTTGTACATCAATCTATTTGACATGAAATCAAGTTACTTTGCATTGAATTTTACGTGACAGGGGGTCAAACTGCTCTGGCATTGCGAGTACTTTTGGCGGTTTTCTCATCAAAGATCTCGTCAGATACCAATCGTCCTTTCGGTGATGAGGTAGTTGAATGCAATAAATTTATTAAAGATGTATAATGTACTGCTGAAAATGAATGGCATTGTGATATTAATTTGATTAATTGCAGTTCCGTGCTGCTCGAAAGGTCTCTGAAGAAGTTGGTGCTCAAATAGTTCTGGGGGACCGGCCGATTGAAATAACTGTACTATGCTCAAATTTAAACCCTGCCGCAACAGAGGACTGTATTTGACCTGTACATTTCTTCATTTCGTTGAAAAATGTTTAACTCGTGTTTGCAGCTTGAAAGGGCTTGGAATTCTCTGAATTGGACAGAGAAACTGAGCTTGGTGGCCTCAGTTGTTCGCGGGATAACCTCAACATCTGATATGTCCCAAAAGAATCTCAAGGTTTTCTTTGCTAATGCCTTATGACATCTCTGAAATTATAACAGGATTGATGGAACTTAAATAATGTAAAAGTATTCAGTAACTTCTAGATCATCATAAGTTGATTGATTCATTCAAACAGAACATTTGCAGTGTCCTGAAATTTTCTTTCTTGTTACATTTTTGCTGTAGGAATCAAGTGCAAGTGATGATGGCACATTTCAGCTTTATGAGCAGCTAAGTTCTTCATATCCTTCACTCCTCCAGCCTCTGATACATGAACGAGACACTGTAAGTAATACGTATCGTAATTTCAACCATAATATGATTTTAAGCCTTATTAATTAGTTTACTGTCTATATATATAATCTTGAGTGACTTGAACTGTGCATGATGATTGTCTAAAGTAGCTTAGCTAGTAAAAATAAAGGCCCCAACTACATAGTGATATTGTGGTTGTTGCTGTTGTTTTCAGTACCTTGCATGGTCTCTAAAGAGGAGCAAAGCTGTGAATAAGAGTAAGAGAGTGGTGGGGGTTATTGGAAAGGGACACATGAATGGTGTAATATATGCATTGCTAGCTGACCTGGGAGATCTGCGGTTTAGGGACCTTGTAGGACAGAGGCCTTCAAGTCAAGGTACCGATGCTAGTTCTGATGGCAGATGGGTTGTCAAATTGGCCCAGGACTTGGTCAGAGACACTGTCATTGGCACCCTCCTGTGGGCATTATATGAGCAGATAAAAGGTGGGTTATAGAGTAGAGTAGATTTGAAATCTCAAATGGCTGAAAATACAATCTTTTTTTCAAATTTGCTCAGTTGCTCAGAGGCACCTCAAAAAAATTACAACTGGTACTTCACTTTGTTGTTAAGATTTTTACTGCTTGGATAAGGATGTCAAACCAGCTTTATTTATATGGTAAACAAACTCAGGATTGTGTTCAAATTAAAATGCCATTGTCAGCCCTTTTGTAATTAATTAAGTGATAAGGATGTCATTAAACGAAATCCACGACAATTTAGCTAATCATATCTAAAGGAGGTGAAATTTTTGGAATGTAATAAATAGTCCTGGATTTTGATTTTCTTCCTTTAGTGGAAACCAGCCACTGAAAATGTTTCACCTGTGTGCGCTAGCTGTTGCAGATGCATGGCAGGGTGTGTGCTTGATGCATGAACACCACGCTAAATACAGAGGCAATATTGTCATTTACATGACTTAATTGCTTGTAAAACAATGGACTCAACTCAACCAAGGGAATTAGTGGTTTCAGAAACGAGGAGCCAATCGCCTAATCCTGGTTTTGGTTCTGAGATTCTGTATTGATGACAGCAATTATAATATGAACAAATTAACTTTAGTTTTAATGGTAACTTAAGCCAGCCCTATTAGGCCACCAATTGGCAGAGTTTCTCAGGTTCCAGCCAAGATTTGTCTGACTTACATAAAAATCCCTTTCCCTCCAATTGAAATAAAAAAACCTGAGGCTGTAAAGTGCAACAGTACAAAATCCAGCAACATTTACCAGCATTTGTATTCAAATCTGGAAACTACTCAAAAACAAGTGAAATTTGTCCACGTTTCTCCCGACGAATGCTGCTGTAACGGACCTCATTTTCAACTCTTCATTTTTTATCAATAATATTCTTACGACAAAGAGTTTTTTAGTTTTCATTTTAGAGATCTTACATGAAGTAGTTCTGAGTGAAACTAAAGAGACCTAAACCCTTTACTTATATTTTCCTTCCTTTTGTCAAGCAATCAACAGAGTAACACTTGAAGGAATTCTTTTTCCAAAATAAAATGCATTTGGTAGTTCTTGAACAGTTTGGTTTCTATCAACACGTGGTGACTGATGCTAGCACATTTGTATCAAACAAATGATTGGCCGTTAATCGTTAGGTTAACAAGCAGTTATTCGTTTGATCATCAGTTAATCGTTAGGTTAAAAAACCGTTATTCGTTAGGGCGTCAATAGTTCGTTTAATAAACAGTTTCTGGTTAAGTTGTTAGTTTGTTGAGCAGTTGTTTTAAGACATTCTATATTTCATTATGTGATCGAAATAATTCTTCAATTAAACTTCAACTAGTAAATCTTCAATACGAACCCCTAAAGCCTAGCCACTCTACATTCTTAAACACAAGCTAGAGATGAGAAAAAAAGTTAACTTAAGGAGAAGCTATCTAGTTTGATATAAATTGGCTAGCCACTAGAAATGTAATAGAACATATACACATATTAATTCAATATGTGACAAGTAACTTGTGTGACTATAGATTGGAGTATTCAAATGTTGTAGAAGTTGAAACTAACAAACATATATATGCTAACTGCATAAGAGTATGAAGCATCTTAAATTAACTAAACGAATTAAATACTCTCTCGAACACGAGCCAATTTTTTAAATTTTGAATTGCAAATAAAATGATATTCATCCCGTTTGAAAACTCGAAATTATAGTCCAAAATTGGAAGACAAACTTCCGTGGCATGCTATTAAATTGAGAGATTGTGAAATCTTCTTCACTAAGAACTCCATGTAATTAGAACCTCCCATGTTTGGTAAAACAAAATAAATGTCTATTTCACTCTAGATATTTCCATTAATTAGTGTGAAATAAGGGGGCGATGCATGTATGTCATCTTTGTAACTCACATTTCTGCACTGCATGCAATTGTCTGAGAAATAGAGAGAGAGAGGGAATTTGGATAAAGACAAGCTCCCTTTCTCTTTAAATTATAAGCCGTTTTCTTACACATATTGCATCTTCATTTGATGTCACTGCTGACTTAACCCAGAAGCATCTGGTATTATATATACCCCCTCTCAGTGTGCTTCAAGACACTTCATTCATTCCTAGCCATGGATGCGGCTACAGAGAGGTCTGAGTTTAGGCAATCTTCCGCAAATACCAAACCCTCTTTCGTAGATATGATCAATATCTTGGTTGTGGACGACGATGCAACCACTCTAGCTATAGTTTCAGCAATGCTTAAAACATGGAGTTACCAAGGTATATAGATTCGTGCATGTCCTTTTTAGATCTCGTGTGTATGGTTCGGATTATGACAAGACTTTCTATGCATTCATGTTTGTTGCTCAATTCCACGACAAGTTTCATTTTTATTACTCAATTTCTTTACATTACAAGAGTCATGGAGTTTTTTCTAAGACTTTTTGCATGTCTTTTTCACTATAAGTGAGAATTTAAGTTGCGCTTGTTTTCTTAATTCCTTACATAAATTGAAGTCTCAGTTATGTTTTTTAAATCCAAGCTTTTCCCTTTCACTAGATCTAGATCTCATCCTGTACTAGGTAAATTAGATCAGGTTTTCTTTTATTGAGATGGATCCAAGAGAATTCTTTGGACTTTTTCTGCAGCTTTTTTCTGTAAGAATGTTTGATAAGAAAACTAAATATATGTGATATGCGATTAGGGTTTTTGTGTGTGTAACTTTCCCGACTCAAACAAAAGGGGATGAATGTGCATCCAATTAGACAATTTTATTATATCTTGTATATGGTGATGATTATTGATTTCCTTGGCAAATAAGAAAAGGCCCTTATAAGTCACAATTTTACTCTTTTGTTGGGTATATTGGTTTCCCTATTTGAAATCAAAGGGTAGCATTTTTTATTTTTTATTTTTTATAATTAAAAAAAAAAGCTTTAGGAGATCCACTCCTTCATCAGGTATATATATAAGGTCTTAGAGTAAATCCTTGATTCATGCATATATATATATAAGGTCCAAATGTGATTTCATTAATCCATGTTATATGTGTGTACACATATAAGAACGTTAAATGTTTTACTACATCGTTCATTAATTTTCCAAGATTTAATTAATTCCTTTATTCAACTATATATATATACTACGCTAACATTTGGTTGTTGATTTTCAGTTGTCTCGGTTAGAAACCCTATCGATGCTTTGGCTACCCTTCGAGCGAGGAAAGGCATATTTGATCTAGTTGTTACAGATCTTCATATGCCTCAGATGAATGGGTTTGAATTGCAAAAGCATGTCCATGAAGAATTTAAGCTACCTGTTATTAGTGAGTGTCAATTTTGAGTAGTAATTAAATAAACTAATCTCACACATATCCTTAATTAAACTAACTTCGTTTAATTTTCTCAACGCAGTGATGTCCGCAGACGACAAAGAGAGTGTGATACTAAAGAGTTTAGAGGGTGGAGTTGTGTACTATATAGTAAAGCCTGTGAGCAAAGATGACATTAAGAATGTGTGGCAGTATGCTGTTGCAGCTAAAAAGGGTAAATCGGTTACCATAGAGGAAATAGAAAGTGCTCCAGGAGAAGCACCTGGTGAGGTCGAGGATGGAAGTTCTGAGACATCTTCTGATACCGACGAAGAAAAACAGGAGAAAAAAGCTGTGGCCAAGGTCAAAAAGGAACGTAAGAGGCACAGGGAAGACGATAATGAAGAACGTATGGTTGCCCCAAAGAAGCCAAAAGTGGTGTGGACAAATTCACTTCACAATCAGTTTCTGCTGGCCATCAGACACATTGGCTTGGACAGTATGCAACTTTGCTTATTACCAATTATCTCATCTTTTCTTTCGTTTCGAATTATATGTGTTTATACGTATAGCTTGCATTGTAATAATTAAATCTGATAACATTTGTATGCCTTTTTTCTCCTTTTCCTTTTGGGTTCATGCAGAGGCTGTGCCAAAGAGGATTCTCGAGTTCATGAATGTGCCAGGCTTAACTAGAGAAAATGTAGCTAGCCATTTGCAGGTTTGTTATTATTCAATTAGTTTATTAGAATTAATCAATTATATTAGTTAAAATTTTATGTGATTTCCTTTTCTATTAGGAATATTTAAATTTTTTTTAAAAGTTCTTTCACTTCACATTCCATGCAAAGAAAGAAACGTTATTTTATATGAAGACACGCACTTGTAGATAAATATATACAAATTTATAAATAAACCCAATCCTAGACATGTATTTATAAAAAAACTCAAGCACTATTTAAATATAGAAACACACCCAAAATCAACTCCAAAGTCAACTTTTTGGGTGTGTTTATAAATGGGTTTTGAGTGTGTGTAATGATGGGTTTTGGGTGTGTTTATATGTTTAAATAGTGCTTGGGTTTTTTTCATAATTTCAACCCCCATTTTGGGTGTTTTAGTGAAACTCCCATAAATATATTAATGATCATTTTAGTGTTTATTGAAAAATTCCTCTTTTTATTTTATTTTATATATGCATGTACTAAAAACATTTTTTTTAACCTTCAAGATCTCACCTTGTTAACGATGGTTTGAACATGTATATGAATTTGCAGAAGTATCGTATCTTCTTGAAACGAGTTGCGGAGAAAGCCAGGCTATCCAAGTGCTTGTCTGAGAGGGTGTTCAGGTCAAGCTTTGCACTTGGCCATCCAGCACTAGTCTTCAACAATGTCCAAAGAGACCAATATTATTCACAACTCCTCAACCCACAGCAAATGGGAACATCAATTGCCTCTACATTTCAACCGTCAGCTGGAAATGGAAACACCCTAGCTCTCACTGCTGCTGCTTCCAATAACCTTGGCTCCATCCAGTTCCCCAATTACCATCAATCTTCAAGCAGCAACAGCAGCAGATCCTTCCCTCAACTAATCGGTTCGGGCCAGTCGCGTCTATTGAGCAATAATCAAGCTAACATTCTGTGCCAGCAACCAATGCTTGGTAATGGTAATGGGGATCAGCTGCTTTGCCAAGCAAACCGCCGCACGGCAGCTTTTGGGTTGCAACAATTGATGAACACTTTTGGCAATGGAGGTATGTCTTTTGGCCTAATGAACAACAATATTGGACTTACCAACAATAATATTGGTACGAACAGTTTGATGCAAGTACACCCACAACAAAGTCAGCCAAGGCAGAATGGAGTTTTCACTTTCACCAATAACCCATTCAGCTACAACTTTGCTACATCAGGAAACCAGATCAGTTCAAGTTATACTCCATTGTCTTCAAGCTTCGAGAACATGGGGTCTAATGTTAACAATGTGAACCAGCAGGTGCCAAACTCCAGTCACCAGCTGGTTAGTAACTTTGCCGGATCCCAAATTATGAGCAGCAGTGGCAGAGAGCTAGTGGGATTAATGGGTAGTCAACCAGCTGGGATGCTCAATAATATTACTAACAATATTAATATTGGTGGTGGATATCCAAATGTGAGTCTCACTGGTGCACCAATTGGGAACAATGATGGGATTTTTAATTCTGGTTACATGGCTCAATTGGGAGCTTCTTCATCGTCGATGTCTTCTTCTGCTGGGTTTGAGATTAGTGCTAGTTCTGCATACCAATTTCCACCAAGTTTGCTTAAGAACAATGGTGATGATCAGCAACAAAATGTTCCAGTGCTGCCACCGCCCGCAGGGAATGTTAATGACCAATGTGGTCTGGCAAATTTGAATGTTGGAGGAGGAAATGTTGAAATTTCCGTTAGTGGTGTCATGGATAATACTATTATTACAGATGCTCCTCCTACCTTGATCAACAACAACAATATTTCTCATGAACAAGAATTGGTCGGTGACATTGATGACTTGATGCTCAGTAATCTGCTTATGGATCAGCAGAACAACTACGAACCTTCTCCTCCTCCTTTTCAGGTGCCTATAATAAACCATAAATTAATGATTTTCCTTTCATCCTAGTTAATATATATTATTTCAGCTATATATGTTGGTCTCTCTCTCTCTGTTCCCCCACAGAATTGTTTATATCAATGTGTGCAGCAACAAGATGGAGATCAAGATCAACTTCCTCCCGACTTTGCTAGTTTCGTATATCAAGTTGAAGTGCCGGACCCTTCTGCGGACCAAGTTCCAAACCTTGACTCTTACCATGTCGAAGATAATGCAGCTAATGAACAATCTTGGAACCAGGCATGCCTACTGATTGCATACTCTCTCTCTCACAGACACATTATATTATCATAATACTAATTACTGGCAAATGTGTGACTGTGTTCAGCAGCAGCAGCAGGAGGGTGGTGATCAACAAGTCGTCAACCCCGAATTCGATGGCAACGTCTTTGACTCAGAGGACTACAGCATACTATTTGATCCAGAGCACCCTTTTCAGGTAACTCAACAATTCGATTTATAATCATTTGTAGCAACCACGCACTTCTATGATATATGAAATGGCTCTTTGATGATTTTCGCTAATGAAATACTCATTTTGTTTTACTTAAATTCTTGCAGGATTGTGACGATGATTTCTTAAATGCCATATTGGATGCTGATATGTAATTTGTATTGAAAGCAGTCAAAAGCCGAGCAAGGATCGATCCGAATCCAGTCCTTTGAAAAGTTTCTTAAATTCGTGAGATTGGATTTAGATTTAGATAGATGACTTATTAGCTATAGAGTAGAGACTAATATTGGTACATAACTTTGGCTATCTTGCTAGTTTGTGTTTTGCAAATTTAAGACTTTTTTATATGGTGACATGTACATGTTTGCTCGCTCTCTCTCTCTCTCTCTCTCTCTCTCATTAATTTAGGCCTGGGCAGGGCACAGCATTGTTGAGTAAGGCCCTTGCATCAGTTCTTCAGAACAATTAAAACAAATCAGATTTAGTCAACTCTTGCACCGTTAGCTTCCCAAAAATGTATAATGGGAATGTTCAATACCAAAGCTTTCGAATGGAAATCTTTTTGATAAGCAAAAAAATCTAAAATGAGAAACCAAACGCTAATTAAAAGTCTACCATTCTATTACCATCCCAATCAAATTTCCTCAATCTTCTTCAATTTGACAATAAAAAACTAGCCGTTGGAGAAAATCCTTTCCAAAGCTAAACACATGGCCCCAATACAAATAGATTTCTTCTACCAAAAAGATTTAGACACCACAAATCAAATCTTTTCTAAGATTTCTTCCAAAACGATTGAGAAAATCTATTTTGGATCATGATTTCTGGTCGTTGTGCAGCTTGCAAGTATCTGAGAAGGAGATGTCCTTCAGATTGCATATTCTTTCCCTATTTTCCTCCCAATAATCCTGAAAGATTTGCCTCTGTTCATAGAATCTATGGTGCCAGCAATGTTGCCAAAATGCTCCAGGTAATAATCCTACAAATTAAAGGTTCAAATGATTTTTTCAGGACACTTTTCGATTCGTGAAGATTGAGTGTTACTAGACAAAATCTTTATCATATGTAACTATATCGTGTATTAGATCGATACATCTTTTCTTCCTTAATTACCAACTTGTGACAAATTTATTTTGTATTTATATCATCTCTAACTATGATTTCTTCCCTACTTATGACTCTTCTTCAGCAACTACCACACCATTTGAGAGGTGAAGCAGCCGATACTTTGTGTTATGAAGCTGAATGTAGAACACAAGATTGTGTGTATGGTTGTGTTAAGACTATTTCACAATTACATCAAGAAATAAACAAGGCAGAATGCCAATTAGCTAAAACACGAGCTGAGATTGCCTTCATTAGCTCTAATGGTGGACAAGGAAGGACTACAGCAACCTCAACCTCATTACCAATTACAAGTTCAACCCAACTTTAATTTCTTGCCGGACCAAATCAATGTTGGGGACACCCAATTTGGTTCTTCCTCTGAAGCTCCTTGGTTTACTTGATTTGATTTTTGTATGAAAAAAAAATTGTTGTTAAAGAGTTTATTTGTGTATGATGTTGCTGGAGTAATACATGAGACAAGTAAAAGTCAATTATCTGTACAAACACTCGAACAATGTTGGGAGAGGGAAAAGAATCGAACCTAAGACCTCAGGTAAAAGAGTAAATATTTTTAACCACTCGAACAACAAACTCCTTGCACATATTTTAGACGTATAATTTCTTTTTTTTTAAATACCATCCAAATTATGAAGCGAAGGGCCCAGAAACTCAATCAACCCAAACTAGTGGGCCAATAGTAATGAACCCAAGATCCCTAGTCCAAACTGGGCCGTCATGTTCAGCTTAGATTTGTAACCGGCAAAGATATTTTTGGCAAACCGACACCGCGCACGTGGTGGGTTCAGATGATAAAAATATCTTATTTTCCCCCTATTTTTATTATTTATCGAAGTGACTCGATCAATCAGAAAGGACCATTTGTATAAATATACTAAAATACATGGTCCTTTTCAACAATATCCAAAATGTTGTTTTCTTGTACTATTTATTTCACTCACGAGGGCTTCGGTTCGGTCAAATCAAAGAAATATCACCCACTTCCCTCAAATCGCTAGGGTTCGAGGCTCCGTTGCTTTTATATCGTCGTCTGTAAAAGAGAAGGTAAGAAATATTCTGAAACCTGATCATCGTTTTCCTATCTAAAAGCTTCATAGGTTTCCGCTTGGTTCCCGAGAAAATTCGAAAGAAACGAAAATTGTGATCTGGTTACTTCTTGCGTTGCTGTTTCCCAATTTTTTTATTAGCTACCGTTTCTCGGCAACCGAATGGGGATCTGACATTTAGGGTTTCTATAGCGGTAGATCTGACTGCTCTGCGACTTTGGTCTTTGTTTTCTGGTTTCTTTTCCTTTATTAATTTGTTGTCTATTTAGCGGTATTTCACCAATTGGAAATTCTTTTGGTTATCAATTTTATTTTGTATTCTTTTATATTCTTTTTTCGCTAAATTTGAATTGGAGATCTTGTTTTCGTGAAATGCATAGCCCTTTTTTTTTCGTTGGCTAAATTAGGTCCGAACATCTGGTTTTAGTGAAATGCATAGCTGAATTGCACCTTTTTTTTCTTCAGTAATAGTTGATATTTCTTGTGATTTCTAGGTCTTAGTTTCTGGTTGAATGTAATGGTTTGAGATTAATGCTCCTTGTATGACAAAAGACCCGAGCGTTTTGTGAGTTTTGCCTATGAACGTAACATAGTTACCTTGAATTTAAGCGCCTTGTTGTTTTTGCTTCTGAAGAATGTTTGGTGTTCACTGGTGTTTTCCAAACTGGTATGCTCGTTGTTTTTGTACATGTGAGAATTTGGTGATGTTGGATTGTTAGTTGGTACTTGTTGCATTTTTAACACATTCGTTCTATTGTTCTTATTTGGACAGTGTGAAAGATTATTTTGCATGTTTACTAATAGCTTATTCTCACTTGTGTCAGAAAATGAGGCCCATTTTTTGTGGGAATTTTGAATATGATGCTCGACAAAATGAATTGGAGCGGCTTTTCGGTAGATATGGGAAAGTTGACAGAGTGGATATGAAGTCTGGTGAGTTATTTTTCCCACCTTGTGTTGATTGCATTTCTATTGTTGTATCTGTATGAAGCTTATTATTGCGTTAACCTTCCTCATCTCTATGTTGTGCTTGTTTCCCCAATGACACTAGTTATCCATCTCTTCTCCCCAAATACCTACAAACATACTATCTCTCAATCAAATAGCCATTGCAGCACATCTACCCAATGCCACCAACCCCCATCTTACTCCCTCCAAAAAACTTCTCATAGGGTAAAGCATGACAAACCTGGAAGAGACCAACTCAAATGTTGTATTAGAATTCATCCTCTAATTTTGATCCCAAAAGAGTTATAAATAATTTCTTTTGCAGAACCAATTATGTGGGAATACAAAATTGTGACTGAATTCACTAAATTACTTAAACACCTGAAAACTGACTACACAGTTCACAGCTTGTGTGTGGTAATATTTGGTGTTAAAGTGATTTTAGTGCATTTAATCATCATTTTGTATTTCATTGCATTTGCTTTGGTAAAATAAATGATTTATAGTTCTTTGTTTCTTGAACTAACAGAAATTATTATAAACTTGAACTAGCTGCCGCAATCTAGCATTCCTTTCTCACGCAGTTTTGAGTTTGCTACCTTGAAGGAACTTAGTGTAGAGTTCAAATTATTATTTTAATAATCTATCCGGGGAGTCTGTTCATGACCAGAACAGGAGATTAAAATTTGTGCATATGTGCATGTAATTTGCATTGATTTTAAATTTGTAATAACAATCACATAAAAATTATTATACCCTGTGAGAATGCACTGGGCCTTACAGCAGAAAAGGCAATTCAACTACGGCACGTCTGCATCTGTAGTGGTGGCATTTCCTATACGTTGTTTCATCGGCAGTCACATTGAAGAATCATCCAGAAATCTCAGTGACAGCAGTCTTCCTTTGTTGAGTTCCTGTGGGGGTTCCGGATACGTTTAAGAAAAAAAGCATGTATATTTTGACGCATAAACCCCCATACTCAACATTTTCTTTGACGCAGGATTATCTTGGGATATCCATTCTCTCCCAGGCTAGTGGATGGGCTCTTCAGAATTCCTTGTCTTGCCTGTGACGAGCTTCCTCTTCTTGTTATCAAGAAGAGTCACTCTGATCTGCCATTGCACTACCGCCATCCCACATTTTCCAGTCACAATTGCCTTTCATTCCTCATGAATTTCGCCCAGCCCTCAATTTCAGACATGTTTCAAGATTGAAACACTGCCCAATCCCATGGCAGAGGCAGCAGATTAGATGGAGAAGGCACTATCTTTACATTGACCCACCATGAGACATCCACTTTTGGATTGTTGTCCCTTGACATCACTTAGTTCATAATACAAGGTCTGTTACTAATTTTACTGGTCACTTAGTTTGTAGATTTCCCGGAGGTTGCCAAACTGTTTAATTAGGATAGAATTTTAGGTGGTTTGTACATTGCTGAACGGAGGAATGCCGCCTCTTATTGAAGAATCCTTATGCAGGGAATGCTTACCTTTGTTTGGTAAAAAAAGCACATGGAATTTGTTTTCAATCTATTCAGAATATTTACTTTGCGTTTTTTATAGGGTTTGCTTTTATCTATATGGAAGATGAGAGAGATGCTGAGTATGCTATTCGGGGACTGGATCGGAAAGAATTTGGTAGAAAAGGACGCAGGCTTCGTGTTGAATGGACGAAGGTAGCAAATGTAGGCAATTTCTATCCTCATTTTGCTTTGTTACTGTTTGTCAGGTTTTTTTTTCCAGAGTGTACAGGTTTTAGCACTTCTGTGTTTGTATTGCAGCATGAACGTGGTACTAGAAGACCGGGTGCTTCAAGAAGATCTTCGACTAATACAAGACCTTCAAAGACCTTGTTTGTTATAAATTTTGATCCGTATCACACTAGGACCAAGGATTTGGAGAGGCACTTTGATCCATATGGGAAAATTGTGAGTGTTAGGATCAGAAGAAATTTCGCATTTGTTCAGTATGAGTCACAAGAAGATGCTACTAGGGCATTGGAAGCTACGAACATGAGGTGGATCTCTCTCTCTCCGAGCAAGCATTGTACTAGATTTTTTAAATTTCGTGTGTCATTTTGTTATTGGCTGATAATGTGTTTTTGCAGCAAGCTGATGGATCGAGTTATATCAGTGGAGTATGCAGTTCGTGATGATGATGAAAGAAGAGACGGCTTTAGTCCTGATAGGAGAAGTCGTGATAGATCACTAGACAGAGGCCGTGATAGAAGAAGATCCCCAAGTCCCTACAAAAGAGAGAGGGGTAGCCCTGATTATGGCCGTGGCCCTAGCCCTGGTCCCTACCGGAGAGAGAGGGGTAGTCCTGATTATGGCCGTGGCCCAAGTCCTTATCGAAGGGAGAGAGTAAGTCCAGACTATGGCCGAGGCCGCAGCCCAAGTCCCTATCGAAGGGAGAGATCTGATCATGGCCGGATCACTAGTCGTAGTCCCCGGAAAGAGAGGGTGAGTGCAGACCGTATCCGTGATCGTACCCGTAGCCGTAGTCCTTATGGAAGAGAGAGGCCTGGGGCTGACAATGGCCATGCTCCCATCCGTAGTCCATATAAGAGAGATAGGGACAGTCCTGAAAATGGTGCCATCGAGAGTCCATATAAGAGAGATAGGGGCAGTCCTGAAAATGGCGCCATCCAGAGTCCGTATAAGAGAGATAGGAGTAGTCCTGAAAATGGTCGGGGCCCCAGCAGCAGTCCTTATGAAAGAGAGAGGGTCAGCCCTGAACATGGTCGCGGTCCAAGCCCCAATTCTGTGCCTGAAGCTAGGGGGGACAGCCCTAACTATGGTGGGCCTGAAAGCCCCATGCAGGAGAGATATAGCAGGTTTGAATTTCGATCTGACTCGCCTGGATTATTATTAATTGTGTTATTCATACTTGTAAATAAATGTAGTCTTGTCTTTTGTTGTTGACACATGTATTTTTGTTGTTAACTGCAGCCGTTCACCACAAGCTGAGGAATGATGATGATCTTGATCAGTGGTTTGGATCTGTCTGGTTGTGAGATGCTGCAGTTTGTGGTTCCCTTGAAAACTCCCTCTGTAGAGTCGAATCGTAATACAGATTATGTAGTTTCTTGTAGCCTTATTTCTGAGTTGTAGCTTTTAGAGATACTTGTCTTCCGTTGTTTCTGCCCAAAACTTCATGGAACTTATTATTGCTATTGAACAAGCAACTTGATACAGAATTTGGCCCCCCAAGTGGTTGTTTACAATTTCAATTTCAATTTCTTGATTGTTCCGTTCGTGAGGCAGGTTATTTTGTGTTTGGAAATTCCTCAATTGGTCTTTGATTTATGTCTAAATTTCTTGGGCGGCCTTGATTTCCGTCTGCTTACAGCTGTGTGGCATTTTTGTTTCCTGTGTTAAGTGCGCAATGCCCTTGTCCTGACCAATGCACCGTGCCCGTGTTTGTTTTGTTCCTTTTTATCGGTTTTTATCAAGGGAAGAGAGAGATGTCATTTTATAAAAATAATAAAAATAAGCGAAAAGATAAGTCATTTGAGCTTGTAGGTTGAGCTGTTGTTAGTATATTTTTTTTAATTAACAAAAAGAGTTGATTTAAGAAGAAAAAATAAATAACAATAAGCTACTGGTTACCCAAGAGAAAGAGCCCCATGATTGACGATGGAGTTGCACAGAAAATGACTTGAGCCATGTGTTGTGATGATGAATCAATTGGATGATTATATTTGACAATAACGAATCCATATACATAAATTAGGTCTTTCGGCATAAACACCGTAAAGTCCAATCCAACGGCTTTGATTGAGCGCAGTTTTTCTGAGACCAAAATTTGGGTTTTCTGAAATGCTTAGTGCCTAATATTTTCCCGACCGTTCAAAAGCAACACACAAGTGGTAAGATGGGGTCAGTTATCCTATCTTTTCTTGGGCAAACTTGATGATCCAGGTGGAATTGGAATCTCAGTTAACTGTCGTCTTTTTTTTGGTCTCGTGCTAAATTCCATATCATTCTGGTTAACTACGCTGTCCATATATCAGCCGATCAGTATGTGAATATGACGTGTATGGAGGGCTGACACGTGTAAATTGTTTTCCACACTTGAATATACGCGTGTGAACACGAAGCTAATTAATCCCTCACTAATCTCTTCCCACACTACCAACCAAATGGGAATGGCTTTCGGCGAATTAGACAATATGCAACAAGGTGACGTCAACAATGGCTTTTAGGGAGAAGACGAAGTCAAAAAAAGGAATTTTAATATGCTTCTCTCAAAAGTGCTTTCTTAGTAAAGAAGAGCTAGCACCCATCGAGTTTAGTTTTGAACTGATCTATGGGTTGGGACTGAAACTTTTAAGAAGTTGATCTTAGATAATATCCCTAATTCATTGACCAATCAATGTTCAACATATAATTACATCCTAATCAAAATCTTCTTGACTACAACAAAGACTCATTGAATTTGGATCCTTAATTCGTTTTTTGGGTTGGGATTAGAATGTGAACGGATGGATTATATATGGTAATAATGACTCATGACCCCCCATGAAGCTTATCATCTCATTAAGATATATATATTTACATGTAACTTTTTTCGACATTTTAGATGGAAGGACAAGACTCGGACATTATCGTTAAAGGAAGTAGCGGTTTGTACAAGAGCTTTTTTGTTTTCAAACTAATGGTCTAAATACGTACAGCTTTGTAAAGCCAAATTAACTAGGTTTCCTTAACTTTTGTCTCCTTTTGTTTTGTACCTGTTTTCTTTTCAAAGAAAAAGAAAGCCAAGATTACAGCTGATTACAAAGGACTGAGTTCACTATTGCAGATTTCTTTAGATTTTGTTGAGATCAGCAAAGAACCAAGTTTGAAACTTGGTCATTAGTATCAATGTCTGAACTTTCTGCAACTTGTTAGTTTTATGTTGTTGTTTTCATCTTTTACTTATACAGTAAGGATCCCTTCCCTTGTGGTATATACTGTCTTAGAATTGTTTGATTGTGATTGATAATTTGGCTACGTGAACCAACTAGTCAAAAGTAAAAGAAATACAACTAGTCATCATGTACATATATGTATGCATGTGTATATGCATGTGCTTAATTGGTATATATATAAAATAAAGTTGCAAAAAAGTCTCTTCATTGTCAACAGAGATTATGAAGGAGTTAGAAATTTCAAGACAAATCCCAACTTCAGTCCAATTGTGATTTTGAACTTTTTCTTTGGCGGAGGGAGGGAGGGGGCCGGGGGGCGGGGGGAAGTTTGAGTTCTAAGTTGCACCTACAACATAGTCCAAATGCTTTTATTGCATGCCGAAGAATTTTGTGGCATGCATGCTAATTGTCGGCAAAGATTCATCATGTTCTGTATAACTTTGTATCTTATTTTCAGCCCACATTAGAGATTTAGTCGGTGCTGGATCTTAGCCTTAATTATCAACATAGAATTGTTTTATTAGGATTTCATTGAGTTTCGCAATGACAAATTTCATATCGTAATGAGTTTGATCAGTCAAAACTAAAGCAGTTTTTAAATAGTGTAGTTCAAGTGGTTAAAAACACTTAACCATGCACTCAAAGTCATAAGTTTAAATTCACCTCTTTCATATCGCTTGTATCAACAAATTGTTAAGAGTACAAAGTTAACATGGCATTCGCTTCTTCTTTAGGCATAAATTCACACGGTTGGGTTGATTGCGACTCTTTTTGCAACATCTAAATAGTATCTAGTCGGCAGTTCTCTTTCTTTCTTTTCTTTTCTCCCAACTTTGGCTTTTGCGTACTTTTTTTTTTCCTTTCTTTCTAAATATTTGTTTTTATATGTCTCATTTTAATTTGATCTGTGTAACGTCTTTTCTTGTGAACCTTCACACACTCACGTCGAAGGTTCCACCGAAAGTTGGACTCATAAAAATGACAAAAAAAGGTTCTCCTAAATCCTAATAACTACAAATGAGATTGGATGGGCAATTTGCTCGAGTTATAATCGAATAGTCCAAAAGGCAGGAAGGAGAAGTCGAATTGTTGTTGGGTCAAAGCACAGTTGTGAACCAAAGTATCAAAGCATGCAGACTTCTTTTTTGTGTGGAATTTTCTACACGTTTTTATGACTAATTCGTTGTCTTTGTCTAAATAATTTGACTCAAAATGAGTCTTTGCGCCTTACTATGGGCTTACTTATGGGTTATGACCTTTCGATGCGGGTGGGAAGAGAGCTAAAAACTGTATGGAGACCAACCCACTCATCCGTGTGGGAGTGTTTGAACCATGGCTGCCATCCACTTGGCAACGTTTCTCTCAAATGAGCTGTGACTTGAAGCAACAGAACTTTCAACGACTTACTAGAATAATAATATATTTTTTTGAAAGGGGCACATTCAAAGGAAAAATCCCGACAGAAGTTGACCTTTTCCTTTCCAAATTGATTTACAAGTGAGAGTTTACATCATCCGGAGAAGAAACATTTCAATGCAACGGGTACTCTGTCAATAACGTAATGATATATGGGATAATTTTTTCAAATGTTATAGTATTATTGGTCGGAAATAGCACGTTACAAGTAAGTTTTTCTCATCCGGGGAGCTTCCCTATTGGGCAATGGCCTATGGAGTTTGAACCAAATGGTGCCCTTGGAGTTGAGAGAGTTGAACCCAAAAGACTTGTCTCCTACTCTCAAGATATGATGCCCAAAATTGGCAAGTTTTGAATGGAAAAGGTTCCGTAGGAGACCCAAGTACTTGTGCCGCCTGCCCTTGAAACCTATGCCTTCTACAGTTGAAACATGGTTGAATTTAAATTGATTGAAAGCAAATTGCAATGCATGCGATCATGAATAAGAAGAACGATTTAATGACGGCTTCTTTTCTTTTCTTTGGACATATCCATAAGCCACAAACTGTTGAAATAAACAAAAAATTAAAAGCTTTGAGCCGTTTGTGTAATATCCAAGAAGCAAACAAGTTGTTTTAGGCTGGCATTTGCAAAGGGTATCTCATATTTTAAATTAATCTCTCTTCTCTTCTCTTCTCTGTCTGGCTCAAAGTTAAATGTCATTGAAAATTTCCTTGTATCAAAGACACAGCATAGGTGGGGTGGGCCCAAATGGATGGGCTTTTGGATGGATTGAAAAAGTTGAGTCCATGTATAACTGGCCTAGACACTCCAAACAGCAAATTTTGTCCTAGCCTCTGTCTATTATGGCCTCTTAACCGAAAACGTTATGAACTTTGACTGTCTTTATTATATTAATCCGGTTGTTAATCTGTATATCCGTCTTCTCTTCTGTCTTGGGGTTTTCTTTAATTTAAGGTTTGGGGATAAATTTAGAAGAAGAAACAAAATTAAACAAAATCTTAGTTCTTGAGAATTGAAAGTGGATTTTACACCCGTCTCTCACTAGGTTTTGCTGGCCGGTCATCACAAAGACTCTATAGTCCCTCCAAAAAAAGTTTCCACTAAATTCTAAGCCCCATAAACCCCCTATAAAAACCCCTCCACTACCCCCCTCTTAAGACCCCAACAATCTCATCTCTCTCTCTCTCTCTCTCTCTCTCTCCCCCCTCCCTCCCTGTACAAATTAACTTACAGTTGATTGATCCTTAAGCGCATATAATAATGTGCAAGCTAACATCTCCTTCTCCCTGCTGCAATGGAAATTCAGACCACCCTTACCTTGTCTCCATTAAAGACTCAGAAGAGCCCGAAACGCTCACTACCCCATTGATCTCCAAAAGCACAAAATCCCAACCAGAACAAATACAGAAGAAGCTACAACTAAACGCACACCACCAAACACACAAACCCCACCAAAAATCCCATTTCTCCTTGGCTCTAAAAGAAGCCAATTCCATAGCCAGCATAGCTTTTCCCATGATACTCACTGGCCTTTTACTTTACTCCAGGTCAATGATCTCCATGCTCTTCCTCGGCCGCCTCGGCGAGCTCGCTTTAGCCGGCGGGTCCCTCGCCGTCGGCTTTGCTAACATCACCGGTTACTCTATTCTCTCTGGCCTCGCCATGGGAATGGAACCCATTTGTGGTCAAGCTTTTGGTGCCAAAAGGCATACTCTGCTTGGCCTCTCTTTGCAGAGAACAGTACTTCTTCTAATATTTACATCCTTACCCATTTCTCTTCTCTGGCTAAACATGAAGAAACTCCTCCTCCTTTGTGGCCAAGATGAAACAATTGCCTCTGAAGCTCAACTTTACCTCCTCTGTTCTCTCCCTGACCTTCTTGCTCAGTCTTTACTGCACCCTTTGAGAATTTACCTCAGAACTCAATCCATTACCCTGCCTTTAACATTTTGTGCAACTCTAGCAATCATCCTTCATATTCCCATCAATTACTTTCTTGTCTCGTACCTCAATTTAGGCATCAGAGGTGTGGCTCTAAGTGGGGTTTGGTCTAACTTCAATCTCGTAGCTTCTTTAATCATCTACATCATTATCTCTGGGGTCCACAAGAAAACCTGGGGAGGGATTTCAATGGACTGCTTCAGAGAATGGAGGACTCTTCTCAATTTGGCAGTGCCAAGCTGCATTTCTGTGTGCCTAGAATGGTGGTGGTATGAGATCATGATTTTGCTCTGTGGTTTGCTGTTAAACCCAAGAGCCACTGTTGCTTCAATGGGCATTTTGATCCAAACCACTTCTCTGATCTACATATTCCCCTCGTCCCTAAGCTTCAGTGTGTCCACAAGAGTTGGCAACGAAATAGGCGCAAACCAACCGAAAAAAGCAAAGATTGCAGCCATTGTAGGCCTGTGTTGCAGCTTCATACTAGGCCTTGCAGCTCTGATCTTTGCAGTCATGGTGAGGAACATTTGGGCAAGCATGTTCACACAGGACAAGGAGATAATAAAATTAACATCAATGGTTTTGCCTATAATTGGTCTCTGCGAGCTTGGAAATTGCCCACAAACAACAGGGTGTGGAGTTCTGAGAGGCACAGCGAGGCCTAAAGTTGGAGCAAACATAAACTTGGGGTGCTTTTACCTCGTGGGAATGCCAGTGGCTGTGGGGTTGGGTTTCGTTCTTGAGTTGGATTTTCAGGGGCTGTGGCTAGGCCTGTTGGCTGCACAGGGATGCTGTGCTCTGACCATGCTGGTGGTTTTAGGTGTTACAGATTGGGAGTTTGAAGCTCAGAAAGCCAAACAGCTGACCGGGGCTGAGGAAGTGGTTGATGACAGCGAAGAGGTTGAGGAAGACAAGCCAAGCAAAGCTAAAATCAAGGAAGATTGTTTAGATTACGCTAATAATAATAATAATAACTCACATGTTTAGTTTAGTTTTTAATCACCTTTTTTTTGTCTTTGATTTTTTTGTTTCTTTGGGTTTTGTCCTAAACTGTACAGTAGTGGGTGGGTGCAATGTGCATTGTGCATGTAGACGAAGAAGAGTTAGTTTTGTTCTTTTTTGGATTTGGGAGGATATTTCTATTGGCAGGACTGTCTTTCCAGGAGTTTTTTTTTTACACTTCCCACTGAAATTCAACCGCAAAATCTGTTGTACGATGCTGACTTCCACAGGAAGTAGCAAAATTACAACATGGTCAGGAACAGACAATCCCAACCCTTTCTCTGTATTTTGTACTCGGATATTGAAACAAGATTTATTAACTACAGACCCAAAAATTTCCTTAAATTTGTTTTTTCATGATTTGCTAATTAACTATTGTTTTAAAGATCCATGTTAAGGTTACCAAACCCCGCAAAAAGGAAAAAAAAACTAAAATCATTTTAAAAGGGTGAGTCTAATTCACATTATCATGATATATATATATTCAATATTACTTAACTGAAATTTGAGTGAGTGCATTGATTGGCCGGACCAAAGTAGCTACGACGACTGGCTGGCCGGTGCAAAAGGCCGGCTGCAACTGCAACTGCAAGTTCAAGACTTGGTCTTATATCTGCACGTTTTTGGGCAACATGGTGATGTGTTAGTCATCAGTTAATTAGTGATTAGTGAGTTGATTATGAATGATCACATGCAATGCAATTAAATGAGTATAAAGTAAGGAGAGTCCTGCTGCTGAAATTGGGAATCTTACTAATACTGTTGAATTGAAACAAAAAGACTAATTCTAATTAAAGAGCATACACTCACACCACATAAAAACTGCAACTTGTACCTCAACTTGCATAAAATGATCCCTAAACCACCAGCCAATTTCACTCCTTTTATGCAGTCAGTTTCAAGACTCTGAGCCTGACATGACCTAATAATTCCCTTAATTTCCAAGCGCTCTCTCTCTCTCTCTCTCTCTCTCCTCTCTCTCTCTCTCTCTCTCTCTCTCTATATATATATATATATATATATCATCTGCTGCATTTCTTTGTTACAAGAGATTTCAGAAATCAGAATTGGAAATTGGAAACTGCAGGGAATCATATCCCATTATTCCTTTATTAGCTTAATTCATCATCATGATGAGCACATTATCACATGCCAAGGTCTGAGTAACAAGTAAAGGTTAATATTTTAAATTAATTACCTCCAAAATATTCCCATCATACTCATAGAAAAGGTTATCATCATAGATTTGGTTTTTTTTTCTTTAATTTCTTTAGGTTCATATTCCACTTATTATTCTATATGTTTGCTTGTACCCATAAAAATTATTTAAAAGAAAGTTATTCTATATGGAGCTGAGCAGCTAATAACGACAACTGCGTTTGACTTTCCTTTGGGTTACAAAAAATATAATGGGGCTTGTTTTGACTTTTGGTTTCGGTTCTTTGCTTGCCATTGACTTTTAACATCCGCTAAACTATTAATTAACTATAAGTAAAGCATATATTTTGTTGCAACAGATCAACATCAAAATGAAACTCATCAGATTTTGGAGGGGAATAAGGTCAAAATAATCTAGGAATAAAAACAGTTGTTATTAAAATAAAAGTTCGTTTGTGACTGCTTTTTTAGAAAGCTTTTTTGTTCATAAAGTGCTTATGTAAAAGCGCTTTTATTATAAAGATATTGAAATTTTCATAAGAAATCTAAGTGTTTCCTGGAAAAGTACTTGGGAGTGCTTCCTAAATTGCTTCACAATAAAGCATCTCTATGACCCATAAGCATTTCTAAGCTTTTCTTCCAAATGTTGTCAAAAATGCCTTTAGTTGTCAGGAAGCGCTTTTAGCCCTTTTAGAAGCACTCCCAATAACATACCCTAAATCGGTTGAAAACACATATAAAATTGTGACTTGAGTTTCTTTAAAGTATTTTGGAATTAGGATGCATGCATCAAACTAAAAAGATGAATATATTTGAAGCCCTTAACTTAACTACAAGTTCTTGCATATGCAATGCTTAGTCGAGAATAAGCCGGCAGGGGCAGTCTGTCAAACCTCGTAACTAGCCACCTAACTAGCTAGATACAAATGTATATACGTATATAATTAGTGCTTAATTATAAACAAATTATTCACTTAGGAGTGGCCTTTACTCCTGGAAAATTAATTAAAATGACCAAGGACACAAGTGCTTGAATTACGTAGTTGACTCAAGCGTTGAAGTCTTGAATTAAGTGGCAATATTTTAGTTGCCTTGTTGGTTGGTCAAATGAATCATAGAGATGATCCCCATGCAGATAAATGTGCCAGGATGCCACCAAATGCATACGACACTACTTGTAGATGCACAGCTGGAGGGAGGGAGGCCCTGCCCTGCATCAAGAAGATGATGTTTGACCTTAGTTTTCTTATTCTACAACTTGTCTGTATAGAGAATATACACATTATATATATATATATATATATACACACACATACCATACTTGATATTTTTGTAAGAGAAAATCTTTTCATTCATTGATATTGCGACATGTGTATTCATTTCAAGATTGCTTTAGTCTACATCCATGGCCCTGGGTCTCTGCTGATGAAGGAATTTTGTCTAAGGAAGCTACTAAACTTGAAGAAGAACCCTGTACACACTATTTGTAAGCATAACTTCAATTAACTTGTGGGACCATCTTTGGCCATGAGGGACACACATGCAGCTCTTAAAAGCCACGAAGGTGAAGGGCATTGTCTATGGCGTAAGGGTAGAGATTGCATGAAAGACAACTAGTGCAGCTCTGCGCAGGCGTGGGAATTGCAACAAGTATCCTATAATTTAACATTACTGATTGCATGCATGATCTGCATGCTGTGGTGGTTAAGGCCTTTGGAATATCGAATTTAATATATATTTGCATGGCTTATGGGACTTATTAGTCAATTAATTATATCTTATCTATGAACAATTTAATTAGGCCGGCAAAATTTATATCTTATATTTGCATGGCCTAAAATAATTCTACTTGAGAGTCAAAAGAATCTTATTTTAAAATAATGGCATTTTTATTACTAGGCGTGGCTGAAGCTTAGTGACTGCATGCACATCTTTTAAAGATAATTCTCAATATTCATTCATTAATTACTTGAAACTATATTATTATTAAGAGAATAGAAAATGACCAAACGAATATATGCCTGCCCAAATGTTAATTAAGAGTTTACTGGCTGCTGTGCCTGCCGCCCTGATTGTTAATTAAGAGTAATGACAATTAATTAACAATCGAAAAATCTAATGTTGTGATTACTTAGCTCCTTTAACCTCATCCGGTTAAAAATCTCCTTAATTTTAAGCTTAAGGAAGATCAAGTCAAGTACATAATTAATCTTAAACAATTAATTGAGAAGCCTTGTACATGAATCCAAGACTGACGTCGATCCTGACATCATTTGGGTTGTCCTAATTAACAGATGATAGTTGTTCAATAATAATGCAATCATAAAGTACGGGCAATGAACTTATTTTTCCATGACAATAATAAATTAATTATAAATTCATGAGAATTAGGCAATTGTCACATGTCATGATTCATGAACAGAGTAGAACATAAGCATGTGCTAATTAGCAAGGCAGATTTTCAGAAAAATATAAAACGAAGAATAATTATATATATATATATATATGCTGACAAACAAGCTGGCCCAGCTCAATCCAAACAATCTATTGGTGATGCTGTTTATAATCACCATGCATCTTGCTAGCTACAATATCTACATGCATTGCAGAAATATTCGTACTCAATTATATATGAATGTACGTACAAGTATTAATTTTAATATAACAAGACTCGATTCGAAAACGCTAATTTCAGGATTATAGAGAGAGTGTACAATCAGTTAGCCACTTTCCAGGTAAATCCTAAATATATGCATTGTTTTATACTAAAATAAATTAAACAGAATAATTGAGTTGACAAAACCATAATCAGTAAATCAAGCACGAAAAAAAAAGAGAGTGCTATCTCTATCTCGAGTGCGATCAGATATGTGTGTGTGACTCATCAGAAGCTTATAATTAAATTTCAGAATGGAATTTACAGCCTTGGAAACTTTTGCCTGGTTGAAGTCCATGTCATTCTCCATTAATTCGTGATTCAAATTACGAGACAAGTCTGTAGGTAATATTTGAAAAGCTAACATTGTGCATTCGTACTCATCAACCTACGGACATTGGCGGAGTTTGAGCAAACAAGAAAAGAAATAAAATTTTAAAATAGAAAAAACCAAATGAACTGAACTTACCCCAGTTGTGATATTTGTCATCGGAATTTAAAATTTCAAGAAAAAGTAAAAGCTGACGTTTATGAAAGTAACATTTGATTTCCTTAGGAAAATTATTATATCTGGCTAGGTACATTACATATTTGCTTTTGCTTCTGGGGTCAATATCATATCAATATGTCATGCCGCCCACACATCCAAAGTATATGCAGTTTTACTGACCGGAGGGTGAACCATTTTTGAAGGAACACATGCACATTTCTAAGGAAACTCTCTCTCTCTCTCTCTCTCTCTCATATATTTTAGGCTGATAGGTAAATTGAATTATTAAGAGAATTGCTGGTGGAATCCTTGACTTAATACAACCAAACCAACCACTTTGTAGTTGCATGTGCTATATCCCATCCCCGTGAACATTTTAACTAGATTAGATTGTTTAATTAGCTGGCTCCATTGTCGTTAATCAATCACTAATTAATAATACTCCATCGTGTGCGGTAGTAGTGGATGTATATGTGATATCCATCATGAAGGTATATAAATGAACCAATTAAGCCCCAAGATTATGTCATCATATGTTAATTCAACTTTTACAATAATACAAAATCAAAACTTAAAATAGGAGAAGAGAGGAGGAGGAGAGAGACCCCCACCCCCATGATGCGGCGAAGGGGGAGGGTAAGGTTTGGAGTTGGCTTGATAGCATTTTTTAAATTTTATTAT